CAGAAAGAGTAAATAAGTAAATAAATTTTAGGATGGAAAGATAGAAATCAAAGTCCTGGATCTTCAAACCATGCAAGCCACCAGTCCAATGATAGACCTAATGTATTTTATCTTCACTGGGTCTGATGGGCAATTTCGAGCGCAGTACTTTGAGAAACTACTTGATTTGTACCACACAGAACTAGAAGACGCTTTGAAGAGGTTTCATCTGGTTCCTGAGAAGGTGTACTCCAGGGCTGATTTTGACCACGATTTGAAAGAGGTGAATATTAAAATCTACATTAACTAATTATAAGTTCATCTACTTTTAAACTAAAAGAGCAACTTAGCCTCGATAATTTCTTTTAAATCCAGCATCATAATTACAATTACATTTTTCAAGCCAAAATCTTTTCTTGTGGGAATACTCTGTGTCCCTTTAACAAGTGGCTATATTGGAAAATAGTCTTCACGCACCATGAATGCAATTTCGATGATACATCATATCAAAAGACACTCGAAAAGTTTCCCCACTCAGTTTGGGAAGCGTAGTATATTTCTTATCTCAGCTTTCTAGTTTCTGATTCTCTCTCTCTCTCCGAGTCTTAAGTCTTCATTTTATATAGCCTTGTTAACTCTGGACTGGTGGGTGAATATTATTCAAATTTATACATAATTTCATTCCAGAAACTGCCTTTGGGACTAAAACTCGCTGCTTTTATTTTACCTGTTCTGACGGTTTCCGAAGAAGATGCTCCCAAAGTAAACGATGATTTAGACATTAGCTCCTTCTGCGTGAAGAACACGAGCGACCGGTGCGCACAGCTATTGAACGAAGTTGTGGATGATTATATCAAGTGGGGCATACTTCAATAGTTATGAACAATTATTGGTGTTAACAACACCGATAATAAGATTAGAGATGTTGAGCATATTCAAAATAAAGGTGACCGAACTCGAAATACAATTTGTTTATAATAAATAAGATCTTGGAATAAAAGTTTGTAGTGGATACAGAGAAGATGTAAATGCTGCACCTTTCTCGTTCAAAATTTGGACTCGCGTAGGATTTTGGAGTAAACTTTTTAATGTCAGATTGTAGCAAAACCAGAAGTTTCAGGAATTTTGAGTTAGGTTACTTTAAATATGCGATTATTTTACAAACGTGAACCTTTCCATAATTTACAAGACAATATTTAAAAAAAAATAAGATAGATAGATTAGATAGCTAGTTATTATTAATTTTATCAAAGAAGTCCTTCGTTGATAAAATTAATAATTCATCAACAGCCTTTAACAGTCCACTGCTGGACATAAGCCTCTCCTTAGAAAGGAGGTTTTGTCCTACTATACCACGCTGGCCAGACGGGTTGGTATAGGGTTTGTGTTAAGTTTTCCTTCTCTTTGCAGTGCTGTTGTCCTGCGTAGTTTGCTCCCTTAGTCGTCTCTTACGACACCCACGGGATTAATGGGCGTGGTGACACTGTATTCTTAATCCGTCACCACACGGAAAATTAATAATTGATCATAAAGAATGCCGAAAGTTTTAAAGAACAGCTAGACTGTGCGTCTAGATTTAAGCTTTAAATTTTCTACTATTATAGATTACGAATAAGGTATACCAAGACTAAAGTATTCTAACACTTCTACTAAGACACAATATGTATTAATGAATATTGGGATCCGAAATATACAGTGAAGGAATGTATGTAATTCCTCCAACCCACAGGGAGGATCCTCCTACGAGGGAGAGGGCCATGACAGGTAGACCGCAACCGAACAGTTGATGTTGGAAAGTTGTATCTATGTAGTAATCAATGTTAGAGTTTTCATTGCGAGATATAGGATTAGTAGTTACTCCGTAGTTTGGTGTCTCTTCGTTAGGTGGCGCAGAAGTATGTTTCACTGTCGTTGTATGTGAAACTCGTCACAATACTAAAGCTGTATTTGACAGTTCGTAATATAATCAAAATGTAAGTTTCAAAGAGAGATTTATATAAGATATATATTTAGTTTCAGTTTTTAGTTCCTAAGACTGTGTGCCCAATTTCTACACCTAAGACAAAGACATTTATTGCAAAAAAACTATGTTACATTTATAGATGTTTTGTAGTAGGTAAAGTTTTAACAGTTACCCAATCGGGCATTGCAAATTGTTAAGTACACTAAATAAAAATGGAACACAATATAATGAACTAGCTGACCCGCGCAACTTCGTCTGCGTCTCTCAATAGTAATAAATTTTCTCCGTTTTTGAAACATTCTTCATTGGTGTTCCGCTCCTTTTGGTCTTAGCGTGATGATATATAGCCTATAGCCTTCCTCGATAAATGGGCTATCTAACACTGAAAGAATTTTTCAAATCGGACCAGTAGTTCCTGAGATTAGCGCGTTCAAACAAACAAACTCTTCAGCTTTATAATATTAGTATAGATATAGATTTAACAAAGCTGAACCAGTTAGAAGTTATTAAACGACACAAGCAAACACAGTGTGTTATCCATTTTGTTTTATATTTTCGAAGCAACCAGAAATAACGGTGAATTGTGTGTGTTATCTTTATTTATATTTTAGCAATTAAACAAAATAATATAATAATATATCTCACACTTCTCCCACGCGGCCGTCTGATCCCAAACTACTCAGAGCCTGTACTATGGTAACCAGACTGCTGATAAACATACTTATATATTTTTAAATACATACATATTATAGATAAATTACACCCAGACACAGAACAAATGACCGTGCTCATCACACAATATTTGTCCTGGGTGGGAATCGAACCCACGACTACCGGTTTAGCAGTCAGGGTCACTAACCACTAGACCAACAGGCCTGTCAATGAAGGGAAGGATTGTGAAACATTCGATTTATTTATCTTTCCAACTTATCACACTTGTTAATCATCATAATGATATCTATAGATAAATTATGTAAATAAGCTATGTTGTTCTGAATCAAACTGTTACTGTACTAATAGGTCTTTACCTATGAAATTGCCGTTTTGTATGCAATAAGTGAAAGTACTTATTTTTTTAATCGTTTTTTATTTCTGTTATTCGAAGTAATCACCCATGCAATCGACGCATCTTTGCCAACGCATTGGCAGTTTATTGATGCCCTTCTTGTAAAAATCAGCTGGACGGGAGGCAACAAACTCTTCAAAGGCATTTTGTACTGCCTCTCGGGAATTGAATTTTTCACCCACTAAAAAGTTGTCTAAATTTTGGAAAAAGTAATAGTCGGTAGGTGCAAGGTCTGGTGGTCTGGTAGATATTTGAAATGAAATGATACTTCATTTGCAGAAACGCAGAAACATAGTTTTTGATAAGTTATTTTAAAAAATCACATATAATAGCATACAATAAATATTAACAGGTATTTTGGTAATTATCGCTCATTTAGTTATTCATTTACTGAGTATATCATTTTTTCTAAAAGCCATATTTTCAATATTTTATTTCAGTAAGGGCAACATCGTTATGGCTGGTGGCAACTTATTAAATATTTTGATACACATATTATAACATTTTTTTTTAAATAATGTGGTTCTGGGAAAGTCCAGGACTAGTCTTTCACTGTCCCGAGTGTTGCATGGGAAATAGCTTTTGCCTTCTTAAATAAACAAGTATTCATCATCACCTCAGCCTATGCTTGTCCACTGCTGGACATAGGCCTCTCCCAATGATTTCCAGCGGGGACAGTAAACAAGTAATACTTTTAACTAATACACTAACTTCAAAGATGCACATACAGGACAACGGCAATACCTCAAATTTTCTAAAATAAGGTTTACAAGATTCATAAGGATGAATACCCACCATAGCTCGAACACACCTCTTCTGGGATAAAACGCCCGAGTAGCATCCACTGAGCTTCCCCATAATAATGAACCGTATCTCAATACAGAACCAACTTGACCATGATAGGCGAGAAGTACTGTCTTAATCGGTTAAGCACGTAAACAAAACTATTAACCCTTTTGCAGACTGAATCGACGTGTCTTCCAATAGCATTATTTATCTAATGATAATCCTAGAAACCTAACGCTTTCCGTCTCCCCTAAGACAGTATCGCCATATGTTATTTTTCCAAGATTTAATTTTAAGTTTTGTGTTTGGAATTCTATAAAATAATTTGGAAAGATTGGCATTTAAGTTATTATTATTTAACCATTATATTACGGAGTTTATTGTTTATTAATATATTGATAGAAAATATACTAAAATATCCTGGGTTGAGAACTCTATTGGGAAAACTACATAGTTCTGGGAAATTGTAGGTATTCCGTTTGATGGAACACCACGGGATCAATCATCTCCCGTTTGACCCGTGGAATTGCCTTCATTTTTAATGGAATGGCACTATATGCTTTTAGTGTAAAATGAGCCTACAGGTCACACGCGTAGAATAAAGTACAAAATGCACGGAATACTACGACTTAGAGAAGAAGAACTAATTGAAGAAGAACTAAGAACTAGTTGAAACTCTACAGAATTCAATCTCTAGTGATCATTATTACTGAATACTACGTAATTTTGTGTAAATACTTAGTCCCACCATGGAATTTAAATCATCTTTTATACATATAGACTCTAAATCAACAGCAACTATCTATTCTGTGAAATATTTAACAAAATAAATTTAATTCATTATATATGTCTGTGCTGATCTGAAACCGTCCGTTTCCAAGGGGTTGAGCCTTATACGAAGAAAGGGCAAAAAAACTCAGGGCCACTCTTTTTTAATTACAGATAGATACAGTCGCATCATTACGAGTAAATACACTACAACATTGATTTGACGTGTGCCAGTATGTCAGTTATTAAGAATAAAAAGTCAAATGGAAATGAAGAGGAAACAAGATAAAGAAAAAAGATTTAAGTTTTCAGTCTTTTTATAATTCACAATACAACAACAACAACAATACGATATTAGCCTCTATCATTTAATCGGAAAAATAAAAAAAATCAAGCTATAGAACTGATAGTTGGAGAGACCTTGACATAAAAATATTATTAGGTCTTAAATTTTTGCAAAGATGTATTAAGAAATTTTTTGAAAAATGTAAGCTCCGTGTAGATGTAGGGAGCGACGCATTCCATATCATTGTTCACTAGGTACCCTGTGACTATTCCTACCACTATTTCAGTTCCATTCTCCCAAGTCGCGATAGGACCACCGTGATCATTCTGAAAGCAAAATCACAACGTTTAGAAATCTATACTTGACGGGCCCGTTGGTCTAGTGGTTCGTGACCCTGACTGCTAAACCAGAGGTCGTGGGTTCGAATCCCACCCAGGACAAATATTGTGTGATGAGCACGGTCATTTGTTCTGTGTCTGGGTGTAATTTATCTATAATATGTATGTATTTAAAAATATATAAGTATGTTTATCAGCAGTCTGGTTACCATAGTACAGGCTCTGCCTAGTTTGGGATCAGACGGCCGTGTGTGAGATGTGCGAGATATATTATAAAAAAAAAAAAAAAAAAAGTGCGTGACGCCGAGCGTTCCCACGCAACACTCGGGGCAGTGACACAAGACTAGTCCTGGATTTTGTCCCCAGAACTACACTATTCCAAAAAAAATGTTATAATATGTGTATCAAAATATTTATTAGCTTGCCAATAACCATAAAGGCGTTGCCCCAACTGAAATTTAAAAGGAAATTGAAAATATGGCTTTTGGAAAAAATGATATACTCAGTGACCGAATACCTAAACGAGCGATAAATACAAAAGCACCTGATAATATTTCATTGTATGTTGTGTTCTATATTAGAAATAAATTATCGGATTAAAAAATTTGACATTGCAATTATATATTTGACATTATGTAAATTGTTTATTGACATGAGCTTAGTAGTTTGTTATTAAATCAATCTTTTGTTGTAATATGCATGTACGTTTCAAATTTTGCATGTCAGAACAGACTGACGAAACATGTGATTCTCTTCTAATAACTATAAACAGCCCATGTATCATATTTCTGCAATTAAAGTATCATTTCAAAGTATCATTTCATTTCGTACTGAATGGATTCAAATGAATCTTAAATACTGGATACTTTTTGTCCCGATGTGCAGTACGGCGTCTTTGGAAGATGGAATGAAATTTCCGTTTCCGTTCCGAAACCTTCACAAGTTGAGGTATCACATCTATTACGTTCCTCCGTTCGATTTCCTTGCCCTTTTTCCTTTGTCTTATCTGAAAACGATTACATCCCTATCCCTAGGTAGGTGTCAGACAGGTGGACGGCCATAAACTAAACCATTTTTTTTTTAACGTGTGGAAATCCCCTCGGACCGTCACCCCGCCGGGGCTCTCTGTTCGGCGGGGCGGTGTGTCGGACTCGAACCGACTAAAACCACACGGTGTGCCCTCTTTGCGCTTTTGTTTTAGGGGGGGTCCAGGTAGTTATCGCCTTTTGGACCCCTCCCAGCGCCGGCCCGCTTCTGGTGCGGGCTCCATCTCAAAATTTTTACCTCTCTTTAGGCGACGTCCGGCACACGCGGACGCCGCCCCCTCGCGGCTGGCCAAACTAAACCAGCCAAAACCTCTTACAATATCACATATTGCGCTTAGACCAAATAACATTAAACATGCGTCATAATTAAGTTCTCATTTACATAATTGGTTCATTTCTCACCTGACAGGGTCCGTACCTTCTACCAGTTCTGTATAAGCTTTTCCTTAAACCAATAGTTTTATTTCCGGGCATACCTGGCACATCTAAAGCATAGACGGGGTCGCTCTAAAAAGAGATTACTTATTGTTACAAGCTGTGCTGAATCCAAGTTTGGGTTCGTTGGGTTTTATTTTAGGGTTTCATCATCAACAGCCTATAACAGTCCACTGCTGGACACAGACCTCTTCTTAGACAGGAGGTTTTGGCCTACTATACCACGCTGGCCAGAAGGGTTGATATAGGGTTTGTTTCAAGTTTCCCTTCTCTCTGCAGTGCTGTTGTCCTGTGTAGTTTGCTCTCTTAGTCGTCTCTTACGACAAACACGGGATGAATAGGGGACCACCCCAAATTGGTCTATTTCTTTCATCATTGACATTTACCCAGTTACTTACTAAATATGCCGCGGTCTCAAAGGAAACAAGACAAAGATATTATTGCTACTTTTACGTCATAATCATGTGATATGATGTTCAGTTTTGGTCACTGCGATTTCAGCTGTGATTGTGATTTGGCCATAGACAAAGATAAAAGCCCTCAAAATTAATCAAAATTTTAGTATTTTAAAGATTACAATCTTTTTTTAGAAATGGACCCGCCGCGATTCTGCCAACAACAACAGCGTTAATCTGTCCACTACTGGACATAAGCCTCTCCTTAGAAAAGGTTTTTTTTTTGGCCTACTACACCACGCTGGCCAGACGGGTTGGTATAGGGTTTGTTTCAAGTGTTCCTTCTCTTTCTGTCAGTCTGACACTAGCGTAATAACAATAATAAAGTAGCAGTGGTTTTGTAAATTAGTTACAGGTGTGATTATATGATTTAATCCTTATATGATTTATCTCAGGTGATTGTGATTTTATTGAAACTCAAATCACTCACTCTTTATTAAAAATTAAAAATTTCAAAATTGTTTGAAATCGTCTTTTATGTAGAGTCTAAAGTCATAGATCAACACACACACAAAAGCAACAATCTGTTTTTAACTTTAACAAAAATCAAACCCATACAAAATCTATGATATGCCTGTGCCGATCTACAACCGCCCGTTTCCAAGGGGTTGAGCCTTATGAGAAGAAAGGGCAAACAAACTCATGGCCACTCTTTTGCAATTCACAGATAGATTAATAATAATATTTCGGACATTTGACACACAACGCCATCTAGTTTTAAACTAAGCAGAGCTTGTGCTATGAAACCTAGATTGACTGATAGAATACTTATATACTTTTTTTTGTAAATACATAAATTTTATACATAGAAAACAACCAAACTTCGAAACAAATATTTACAGATGATACAAACATTTGGTCGGACCCGGTAATCGAACCCGAGACCTCAGCACAGCAGTCGCATACGCTACCACTACACCACCGAGGCAGTGTTAAGCAAGTATTTTGTTGCCTTTCACAACTCCTCTTCATCTCCTCGATCTGAGGGGGTAGGTAGGGCTTACTCGAAGGACAGAGAACTTGTGTCTCTTGCCACTTACTATCAGGTTAACCCCCTACATCATAAAAGAAAATCTGTACTTACGTGGGTGTTATTTGTGTTGGCACGTCTTGTATCTGTCGGCTGACCATAGACATCTAAGGAGGATTCGCCTTCCGTGCAGAATCTAATGTTGTGAATATTATTTATTGCGTGGTTATAATTTTTATTGCATTCGTCTAAAGCAATTACTTTAGTGGTTGTAGCCATTAAATAGCTCTGGTTAGTATCAAACAATATATTTTCCTGTAAAATGTAAGTAATTCATTAAATTTTGATTTACCTAATTTATATTAGTTACAATAAAAAAGTATTAATCACTAAAACTGATAATTTCCTGTTTTACAACTAGTATTACACCGGTATTGCTCAGACTATTGGTAAGTTATACAATTTAAATTAATTGAAAAGTGACAGTTGTACTTAAATTAACTAATATTTACTCGTAGTCTAGTGTCAATTTGGCTTTACGCTATAGAAATTGTTCGTAACAGCGATGCTATTGTTTTCTTAAATAAATAAATGGGATGATGATTGCTGATGACATGACATCATTGACTTCTGGTTCGTCTAAATCTAGAGCTTCTATAGCAATGGCAGAAGCAGTTATCTTTCCCCGGATGGTGGTGACTCACACAGGTGGCATACACAGGGAAAGCTCTAACAGTGCTAGCTAGAAAACTTCCCACTCCCTGTTCTTTCTGCCTCTAAAAAGTAGCCTCTGCCTCTAAAAAATGATAGGAAAAAGTTACTAAGGAGCTACGTAATTTAAGAAAACAATACATTTCATTATCTAAAACCAAGAAACTTGTTGCTGAAAGAAGCATAAGTGCTCCTTGTGCAGAACGATGTCGCCAAGATAAATAAATAGTAGTAATATTAACGGAGAACAGATAAGAGCTATTTTAGATATACGTATTTATTGGGCAGTGGGTTTTGCATCTCGACAGAGGGGAGAAAGACTCTATTTTATTAGTAAACATGTGTTGTCATCACACCACATCGCCCCGTGAAACTACTTCTTCCACCAGGGCCCTCACGCGCATGGGCAAGTGCCCCAGACGGAAAACGTACTGGTCACTATGACGAGATACTTGTCAAGGCGCCATGAAATTACTCTTTCGAAGAGTTTGCAAACCTCGTCAAGCAACATTATGGGCTGGTAGGCGGATGGGAATGAGTTTCCCCGTCTTCCACAATTTCGGAAACTCACCCCGCTCGAGGCATGCGCTGCAGAGCCCTCTCAGTCAGGGCTCGAGAGCTTAGTTATCTAAGGCCACGCTGAGCCTGAAATGCCATCAGGACCCAGGGCAGTGTTTTTGGCTTTAGGTCGTAGCATCGGAACCCTTAGCTCTGCCCAAGTGACCTCAGGCACGTCGTCGTCATCCACGTTAGGCGCCTTGAACACCAGCGCCAGATTCACCACTTGCGATAGGAACAGGGAGCCAAAACCAACTCAAGCCAGGTCAGCGCCGGGGCACATGGGCGCATCTTGCCCCTAACCATACGGTAGGGGTACCCTCAGGGATCCCGCTCCAGTGTGACAAAGACAAAGACAAAGACATTTATTGCAAAAAAACTGTGTTACATACGAGTATATAGATGTTTTGTGGTAGGTAAAGTTTCAACAGTTACCCAATCGGGCATTGCAATTTTAAAGTACACTATAAATAAAAATGGAAGATTACAATAAGTTTAAAGGCATGCAAATTATCTTGTGAGAAAATACTCTTGCAAATTATAGAATACATTCTTTGTTAACCATTTCTTTAGAGCATTCTGCCATCTAATATCTTTATTTCTAGCGGGAGCTTATTAAATACTCTTATTGCTGTTATGTATGTGCTTTTATAGTATATCATATTAGTAATATTAGGTAGGTTTATATTGCATTTCTATTTATTGCGTATATTACGTTTCGAGTTACATTTAAAATCAAAAGAAGACATGTTACATTTTACAAAAATACACAATTCCAGTATATAAATGTATGTAAGTGTGAGAAAACCCCTTTCAGAAAAAACAGATCGTAAAAATTCTGTGCTATGCATGTTATAAATAGTGCGCAGACATTTTTTTTAGTAAAATGAATGTTGACTGAATTTCAGATGAATTGCCCCAATATATCATAGTAGGCTAATTTAGCGGTTTCTGTTGAAGTTGTTTCAGCAAGCACAGATATGGTGTAGCTAAAAATAGTAAATTCCTTGTTTATTTTCTCTATATGTCCCTTCCGGTTTAAGTGCTGATCTATAGTAACACCAAGAAAATTTATCTGTGGGACCTCATCAATTTTTATATCAGATTCATATACATTTAAAGTAGGAATCTTCTTTTTATAATTTCTAAATTGCATCAGTTTTGTCTTGGTGAGATTAACTTTCAAATTTCTAGACTTTAGCCATATGGTTACTATTTTTAGCGTGTTATTTTTTTCATATTTTAACAATTAAAATCATTTCAGATAATCAAGTTCTAGGCACACACGATACACTCAGTCTTACTTACAGGTCTGTGATAACGATTCGATCCCCAGCCATACACAACAACATCAGTGCCAGGTTTCAACTCTCGGAATTGATAATTAGCGACGGATGGCTGATACGAACATTTCTCGGTAAAGGCTTGATCATTGAAATCAAATGCCGTTTCTAGTCTTGCGAAAGCTAACTCTTCATATTGCCATCCATTCTTGAGTTGTGCCTGGGAGGCTAAAATCATTTCAAATAAAAAATATTTTATGCCATTTGTCAATTTTATTTTAATTTCTTTTGCGTACCAAGTACCGGTCATGTCAATATATATAATATATATATATATATTTATAACAAGACAACACCCGCAATACATTCTGTATCGCGGGAGGTATTACAGACGTACATGAAACATAAAGAATACCCAGACTTAGAACAATATTTTGTGGACACATGAACATAAAATTATAAATTTTCTGTTTTAAGCAAAAAAGCAGACGTGTGACCTTATGATAAGAGACTACCGCCGCCAATAAATACCTACAGAACTCAGGGGACACAAATGCGTTACCGCTCGTAGAGGGAGGGCCCTAAGAGCTCTCGAATTGGGGAGAAGGGAGGGTTCGATCCATCAGTAATCTCACTCAGTCAGTGAGGATCAGGACGTGTTAATCGAATCTCTTTAAAAAAATCGACGGGCCGTTTGTGATCTTGGCTGCTAGGACAGAGGTCTTGTGTACAAACACCACCCAGGACAATAACTGTTGTACAGGATCGAGAGGACTTCAGGTAATTTTTATAAAATAAAAGTTCTAATTGACTGTTCACCAAGGCTGTTGTAATTCAAGTAAGGTAACCTGACAATAATTTTGGACCCTAATACACACACGAAAAAACCATGTTACACGATGTAGATTTTTATGATAGTTAGATTGCTCATAACTATAATGTAGGCGCTCACGCTTGCAATGACGCCTCAACAACTGTGTTTTGAGCAAAATATTGTTTTCTGTGTCTGAGTGTAATTTATTTCATCATCTGCCTACCCTTATCAAAATTTTATTTGGGGTCGACGCAGTAAGTATGATTCCTCCATTCTATTCTATCGTTCATCATCTCACTGTTTACTCCCTTCCTAGCCATATCCTCACTCACACAGTTAATCCACCTTTTATTTGGCCCTCCTCTTCTCTTATATCCTCAACTCTCATACCTACCTAACACTTTCTTGGCCACATTTTCCTCATCCCTCCGCATGACATGTCCATACCAAGATAACCTATTACTTATTAACTTTTCATCCAGTGGCGCTACTTTCAGACTCCCTCGTATATACTCATTCCTAGCCTTGTCCATTCGAGTCACACCACACGTCCATCTCAGCATTCCCATTTCGACAACGTTCAGGCGTCTCTCATCCGTTTTCTTAATGGTGACCCTTTCAAAACCATACAGGAAGGCAGGTCTGATGATAGCTCCATACAAAAAGTACCCAAAAAAAAGTGCCGGCCAACGAAAAAAAATGGTTTTATCGGTTAGAGAATGACATTCTAAGATTTTTTTCTTTAGACGGCTAAGAGCTAAGACCGATTACTTATGAGTTATATGACTTAGAAATAATAAAAAAATGCATTTATACGAGTTCGTCTGAACAATTTTTACTTCATTACTATAGCAAAAATCAAATAATGATGATAAATAATAACTTAATCTCGCTTAATAATAATATAATATGACAAAAAGCCTAATTATATACAATCATCATTAGGTACCTAAGTACCTACGTAGGTATTTATGTGTAGGTATTTTTTGGTATTAGTATTGGTTGTGGGCTTCGGTTTCCGCATTTAGACTCAAGAGTGGTCCTTTATGCGTCGAGGATTGGTTAGCTAGGTGAGCCAACCAAGCTCCTTCCAGAAGCGCAGAAGCCGCAGCCGGGTAAGTTTTTCCACCTCTAGTTGTGTGCTTCACGGGTCCGTTGCCTGGCCCAGAATCGTGTTTGGTTAAACGGTATTGGCATGAGTATGGTTGGGCCGGTAGCTGGGGTTGTCGAGCCCCTCCTTGCCAAACTTATCTGCGGCATCGTTCCCGTGTGAGTTACTGTGCCCTTTAATCCATTGGAGGAGTACCACATTTAATGTGGCAAGCTGCTCCAATGCTTGATGGCATTCGAGGATAGTACCAGAGGTCATTGTGTTGCCCTCCAGTGCCTTTAGGACGGCCATGCTGTCGGATAGTATTTGGATGTTATAGTCCTTGATACCCCTTGACATGGTCGTTGTGGCGGCGTAAGTTCTTGCCACACATTCGCATTGGAATATGGAACTGTGTTGGCCTAACGCTAGTAATATGTTCATATTTAGGTCTTGCGAGAAAACTCCGGCTCCAGTTCCTGACCTAGTCTCGGAACCGTCCGTGTAAATTCGGATTTCATTAATGCCGGATTGATCTCGGTCATTTTCTCGCATCTGGATGTGGTATCTGCTATCAGTGGTTCGTATTCCACCAATTGATCCCATAGTTTGGAGTGCGATCCCTCACTCTTATGCCATAGGCCCAGGTGTCTGAGTCTAATTATCGCCATAGCGGCCTCCTGCTGTATGAATAAATCCAGTGGGGGCAGACCCAGAGCCACCTCTAGTGCGGCAGTTGGCTGGCTGGCTGAGGTGCTTATCCCACAGGAGTTTACTGTCCAGTATTACTCCTAGGTATTTCACCTCTTTGGTAAGATTATGATTAAGAGATATGACAAAAAGCCTAATTATATACAATCATCATTAGGTACCTCAGTACCTACGTAGGTATTTATGTGTAGGTATAAGTGTTATAAAATATATGTATGTAAAGAAAAAGACTTCATTTTGTTACCTACGTGGCTTTATTCATATATTATAATTCCGCAGGTGTTACGATAACATTTTCTAAACCTGATGCAGGTGGATTTATGGGAGATTGTTGGTGCCTCGCGAACGTCATGTACCACACTATGCACATAGTGTGGGAACAGCAGACCACGGTTCTTTTGCCAACATTACATGAGGAATAATAATACGGTATGGCATCACGGCCACTCAATGATGTGTCGATGCCAATGTAAACATAATATATATAAGCAGACATCGGCTGAAATTGTGCTCGTCTTTTATTATAATTATGCCTTACAACTATATCAGCCAGCGTGTTAGGGATTGACATTCTAGGGTTTATTATGGCCAAAAGGATTGGGCATGAATATTGTCATTTATTAGTACGAGTATATGGTATGCATTAATTATAGCAGCCGCTATCTGAAAACAATCAAAGCACGATTTATATTGACATGTCTCAAAAATCTAAAATCCCGTTTGAAACGCCCATTATCTACCTCCACAACCCACCGACAGATAGTTACAAGGCGAGTTTTATTTGCTTGCATCGTTGTCAGCTGGGTTTCATTTCGGAGCTTGGCTTCAGGCATATGTGCAGAATATCCCAGTGACTCCATTGGTGATATGGCATCTCTGAAGCCGCGATCCAAAATAAATACATCACCTTGTCTAAAAAACCAATTAAAAACAGCATCGCCGGTGTCAGTTTCATTAGGTTTCATTGTTTAGGTTTTTAATTATTCAGAAATAGTTAATTGATACATAAATGTAAATGCTAATTTTAGGATTTTCGGAGATCCATTTTGGGTGTAAAAGTTGGTCGTAGACGTTTGTTGTAATAATAAAAAATGTTTAAAAGATCATTTGCCGTAAGATGACACAGTTTTTTTTTACTGGCCGGCACTTTAATTTTTGGGTACATTTTGAATGATGTCCTTTATGCTTTCAGTGTTAAGGGGAAACTAGGGTCACAAATTGTTCTCGTTAGCCGCCGCCACTTCATTCATCCCATATTGATTCGATGTTGTACAGTTCGATGGATCTTACCATCATATTAAAAGAGGGAGCCAAGGTACTTGAAATTGGAGTTTAGTTACTCAGTATTAGTTCTGCTGATTTTCAGGCCAACATTCTCCAGCCTTTGTTGCCATTTTTCCAGTCTGCTCTGGACCTCATCCCAGTCTTCACCGACCAACACAATGTCATCTGCAAACAGCATGCACCAAGGTGTCTCCTTCTGTATATCCGATGTCAGAGCATCTATTATTAACAGGAAGAGGTATGAGCTCTGCCCCCATCCCTGGTGCAAGCTTTCAGAGACACTGAATTAATCAGTGTCTCTGAAAGCTTGCCCGTGACCGACCTTACATGAGCCTACTCTCGATACTACTCTCTATGGCACGAATCAATTCTAAATACTTAACAGGCACTCTTTCTTCTTTCAAAGCCCACCTTTCAAAACCTTTCGAGGTACCCTATCCACAAACACCATTAAATATGCTAGTTTTTGTGCGCACTTCTGTATTTCTCATATTATTGGCGGATAGCAAATATGGCATATTTTGTCCTGCGTCCAGGCGTAAACTCAAATTGACTTTGGGTTATGTCACTCTCACCTCTTATTCTTCTCTCAATCTCTTTTTCCCACACTTTCATAGTATGTGACATAAGCTTTATTCCTCGATAGTTGTTGCATTCCTGAGGAAGGACACCATTCCTTTGGGATTACTGCTTTATTTAACAACATATTAAAGAATAGAGTCAGCCACTCATATCCGTCTTTCTTCAGTACCTTCCACTGGTATACCGTCGGGGCCAACTCCGACATTTACATCCACATCTTACAGCCCTCCACTCCATTCATTCTCTTCATTCATAAGTTTTTCAAAGTAAGTAGGTTTAAGTGTAATTTATTTAGGTATTGTATAATTAGAAAATTTGGTTCACACGAATGATATGTCAGGTTATTATTTCTATTAATGAATGAATACAATTAATATTTTTTTTTAGTATACCCAGAAATTATTGAACTATATGTAGTTAAATACCCTGTTTTCAAAGTTACTATGTATGAGCCTAGGAAATGAAATTATTACGACGGACAGAGTTTACCCGGTTAGAATAACACATCATTTCGGATTCACTGTTCTTAGACTCGTATGATTCACATATATGTAGGAGCTGGGTAATAGGCCAAACAAGTTCTTCTTGTAAATATCAGCTTTATTTTTTAACGTCTTCTACAGTTATGCACAATAAGTAATTTTAGAGCACTCGACCACATCGTTTAGCTGAGACTCCCCCCCCCCCCCATCTTACTTCCTTTTCCACTTCCTTTATCTCACTCCCTCCCATATCACTCTTACATTCCAATCATCTTACGCTCCGTGTCACTACTCTTATCTTATTAGTTTATTATTTTAAAACATAAATTATTTATAATATAAAAATGCCTACATATATTATATTTTACAAATATTACCAGGATTATAACTGCTATTGCCCTAATGACAACAGCTGGCACACAGAGACACGAAGCTGAGCAACGCCTTGGCACAAAACTGGTGAAAAAAGAAGCACATCTCCTAATAGCAAAACTAGAAACATAAAAGAAATTCCTGCAGTATGCGAAAGTTATAATATGCCGAAAGATCATTGACAGAAACAAATAAATTCAAATAAGAGAAACTAAAATAAAAAATTAACAAGCACAAAAGAAAACAAAAGCCTGAAAAATACTCTTGACATGCAAGAGGTTGACAGCATATTTAAAAAAAAAAATGACAACAGCACTTATAGGTACTGCGATTGTATATGTACATATATTATAGAAAACAGTGAACCTATAGATATATTTACACTTTTATTAATTTTTTAATCATATTTGTAGCTTTTTTTTATTAGTTATCTGTTTAAATTTCTCTTGTAGGTCACCTGAGGACCCTGTTTTTTTAAGACACGTTTATAACGCCCTACGCGCTTAACTACCATGGAGTGCTGCAGCACCTGAGGCGGCTACTATAGACTACCTATTCAGTGGAGTGAACGATCGTGTACGAGGATGTTGTGCGGTCTTCCACATGTTCTCGGACCAGCCCTGTGGAACATGCCGTACGAAGGAATATAAAATTTTACTTTTTTTGTGATTAAGTCCCGATGTACACATCTACATAACTTGCGAGTGATAAAAACCATAAAGTACCAATGTAATTAAAAAATTATCCGTCCGTCCGTGTGGTGACGGATTAAGAATACAGAGTGTCACCGCCCCTATTCATCCCGTGGGTGTCGTAAGAGGCGACTAAGGGAGCAAAATACGCAGGACAACAGCACTGCAGAGAGAAGGAAAACTTGAAACAAACCCTATACCAACCCGTCTGGCCAGCGTGGTATAGTAGGCCAAAACCTCCTTCCTAAGGAGAGGCCTATGTCCAGCAGTGGACTATTAAAGGTTGTTGATGAATTAAAAAAAACTTACTGCGAAAATAATGTTTTTCAATTATAGGTTTCTTTGCTATTTTCAAACATTCTTCTTCTTCCTTATTGCGCCCCACAGCACCTGGGACATACTTATTGTAGCCTGCTATCACGTACTGAGTCGGGAATATTTTTAGGCATTCATCTGCAGTTATAACCAAATTTTCAGTTATAAAGAAACCACCACATATAGTGGTAGTATCGTGGTACTCAGTTAGATTTTTATCTGATAAGTCCCAAACGAAGTATACCTGAAATATTGTTCAGTTAACAGTACAGCAAAGAAAGTGAATAAAACAAAATGAACGCAGCCTAAACGCACAAGTAAAAGCAAACATCAAAAGTGATTAAAACACGGCTTACTTGAATAAATTTACACAGACGCTAGAAGCTATATAAATACCATATAAAATAAGTACGAGTGAAGCTTTAATCGCAGAATGAGTTTAGTTTCTGGTCCGATAACACTCATAAAATGAACATAATAATATTTTCGGATATATGACGCACAACGCTATCTAGTTTTAAACTAAGCAGAGCTTGTACTATGGAATCTAAATTAATAGAATACTCACATACGTTTTTTTAACCGACTTCAAAAACACAAAAGAGGAGGTTATCAATTCGTCTGTATTGTTTTTTTAATGTTTGTTACGTGATATCTCCGTCAATTGTGGACCGATTTGCAAAATTATTTTTGTAATCTTTCGATTACATTATTTAAAAGAAGTAACGGACTTATTAAACTATATTTCATATATTCTATCATACCAAAGTTTGGTACTATACATTACGGGACGTAGTGTTTTAAATATCGTACTTATCTACTCAATACAAACATATCTTACACTAAAAATTGTAATATAAATCCTTTAAAAAAAAGTTAAACCGACTTCAAACAATACTGACAAAGATCGCTAAAAATTAAAAATAATTACAAATGTAAGTAAAAAACCTAAAATAAGTACCCTCAATATAACAGGTAACATTAAAATAGCAATAGTCCCTTCTAGTCTGTTTGAAGTCGGTGCCTTCGATATTGATATCGCTTAGTACTTGGGTTGTGGAGGTCTGATGACAGTCGATAAAAAATCGAAGTTCAGACGTATCGTAATAGACTTAAAACCGACCGCAACCTAGTTTGTTTTCGTTCTGTTTTAGCCTTTTTTGTTGGAGCATCTGTGCTGTTACCCCATAATATGATGCCGTAACTAAACCTGGCATAAGCGTATGCGTAATAAGTGGTGAGAGCTGTTTGAAGGTCGGTGGTCTTTTTAACTTCGCGTAAGGCATATGTGAACTTAGAGATTTTAGATCTTAATTTCGTTATGTGAGATTTCCAATTGATGTGTGTGTCATCCAAAGCTGGTCAGTGCCTTTGCCTGGTCTGGGTGGACCCAGTGTGGTGACGAGACAGCTGTACACGGGGGTTGTCCGATCCATGGCACTGTACGGTGCACCTGTGTGGCCAGCGCCTCTGACTGACCAGAATAGGGCGAGCCTTTGGCAAGGGACTTCGGCTTTGCTGTCATTTCACAGATGCATTTCCAGCTTCTGCTGGTACGTCTCCGCGGTCTTGTAGATCTCTTTCTACATAGTGCTCATTTTGATATTAAGGTGGGTTTTTGTGTGATACACCATGGGATATAGTATATGGTTCCTAGTGTCATATTCTGCATTTGTTATAATATCATGATAGTGTCACAGGATTGCCCTATAGCTGTATAACGTAAACCTAGACTGGTTTTATTTATTTATTTATTATTTATTTTATACTTTATGCACAAATGTAACACAGGCGGACTTAATGCCGTAGGCATTTTCTACCAGTCGACCTTAGGGCGATGCAGTTAAAAAAAAAAAATGGTAGATGCACAGAAATTAGAAATGTTTTTAGGCTACTAACTTTTGTTTTCAGGTTAGTAACTTTAGTTTCCGGATACTCTTGTAAAAAAGTTATTTTGACTTTTTAATCGACTTTCAGAAAAGGTAATATTCTCAATTCGGTGGTATATTTATTTTGTGCTCGTTGTTTTAGAACCGATTTGGTACATTATTTTCGTTTGGAAGGGTATACTTTACGTTTAATCCCATTCAAATTTGAAGAACAAAGAAGAACCCCCCTAAGAGTGGAAATGTAAGGCATTACAAATACAATTCATTACGATTTTAATAAAATGTTAATGACATATTAAATAATCCTCCCTTTGGTTTCGTAAGAGCCGACAACAGCAATGCAAAGAGAAGGAAAACTTGAAACAAACCCTACATAAACCCGACTGGCCAGCGTGGTAAACTAGGCATAAACTTCCTTACTAAGGAGAGGCCTATGTCTAGCAGTGGACAATTAAAAGCTGTTGATGATGATGATGACGATGTAGGCACTTTAAAGTCGGTGCCCTTTTTGAAAGTTAAATACAAATGAAATTAAATCGCACACCTTTAAATATTTCAGTATACGAGTATTAAGCATGGATAGGTATACAACAGACTGTTAAATGATACAAAACCTTTGGAAATAATACGAAAGCACTGAATACCAAAGCCAACAAAGCAAGGTCTGAGAATATAGGATGAAAGACAGAATTTAATTACATACCACATAACTTTTATTTATCTCTTCACCGTTAACGATGCGTCTTTGACATTTTGCATCTAAAACAAAGAAATTGATCGATATGATACAAATTTGAATTTGTTGAATTTTAGTTATATTTAATGTAGGTTTATCTCTTATTTATCAAAGTAGGAACTATGACAAATTTATTATTTCATCTTTGAATCTATCGCATAATAAGTATTTCTACATCACCTAAAGATCGAAAGAGAATGCCTCATGGCATTAAGTACTACATGTGCTAACGTTGAAACAATCATCAACAGCCTTTAACAGACCACTGCTGGACTTCCTTTCGTTATTAACGAGGTTTTGGTCTACTATACCGCGCTGGCCAGACGGGTAGGTATAGGGTTTGTGTCAAGTTTTATTTCTCTCTGCAGTGCTGTTGTTCTGAGTAGTTTTTTGAATAGGGGTGGTAACACTCTGTATTCTTAATCCGCCACACGGACTCCGGTTGTAATAATGCCCATATTTTTTATATCGGAGTAATTGTCTTTGTCCTCTACACGCGATCCTGTACTGTTGGCAGCTAAATCTCTCGCAACATCAGCTTAATATCCCCTCTGGACAATTTCAGGTGGTAAAAAGAATTCCCTAAACATGCCCACAATACGGCAAGTACACTCACAACGAGCCAGAAGAAGAACCAGCAGCGCCTTGGTCATAGATTGGTACATCGAGACGGGTTTAGGTACGTCAGAACGAACTGCACTGCGCCACACTTATTGTAAAATATTGTGCTTATCAGTAAATGGTATTGCTTTACTAATAATAGCCATATTACATAATATGCAATAATATAAAATAAAATAAATCATACATTATTATGTATGTGTATAAATTGTATTAGGCAACATATTCTCTCTGCTAATTTTCTGTACATATATAAACAAATCAATCCATATTAATTTATAAATATTTGTCTGTATCTCGATAGTACAATTTTTTAGGGCCTGTTGGTCTAGTGGTTAGTGACACTTACTGCTAAACCAGAGGTCGTAAACCACCACTACCCAGGACAAATATTTGTGTGATGAGCATTATCATTTGATTTGTGTCCGGGTGTAATTTATTTATTATATCTGTACGGGGGTACTGGTTAAGTCGACCTCGATAACAGGGGTTAAATTGTGAAATTGCCATTCAACCATCATGGTGTGAGATTTTCGTGTGTGAAACTTTTTTCGCGTGATACCTATGAGGTTCTTTTTTTTAATGTGTAATATTCTATTTTCGACTTTCAATTGTTTTTTTTTTTATTCAGCTTAGACGTGAAAGACGAATACTTTGTAAATCTGAGTCATTTTCGAATACGAGATTCGACGCGGAACTAACGCTTCAGAAACGACTCGCAATAGCAACGCTGCGTTTGGAAAGGAGACTGCTGATGAACGCACCGTGCGTTTTTGGTTTAAACGCTTTCGTTATGGAAACTTCGACTTAAAGAACGAACCACGTGGAAGACCGCATACAGGTGAATAACGCTGAGTTTCAAGGAGATGGTGGAAGCCGATCTGAGTCAAACTACCCAGGAATTAGCGGCATGGTTTAACGTTACCCTACCTACAATATTAACTCATTTGCATCAAATCAATACAATGAAAAAATATGAAAAATAGGTGCCTCATGATTTGACTTAACCGCAGAAAGAAATGCCTGTTAAAACTTATTAAGGAATATTGGATCGAATTGTGACATGTGACGAAAAGTAGAATGTTTACGATAACCGTAGGTAAGCGAAAAATACAATGGCTGACCCCAGAACAAACGCCGCAACAGTGCCTAAAGCAAAGCTTACCAATAAAAAGGTAATGGTAACTGTTTGATGGTCCCTTCATGGTGTTATTCACTATAGCTTTCTCAGGTCTGTTCAGGAAATAATAGCAGATGTTTACTGTGCTAAACTTCGGACAATGATGGCGAAAGTGGCAGTGAAACAGCCCCGACTCGTGAATCGATATTCACCATTTTTGGTTGATAACGCAAAATCGCACACTGCACGAGAAACCGTTGTAACTCTACAGCAGCTTCAGTTAGGCACTATACGACATCTTCCATACTCACCAGACCTTGCTTCAACGGACTACCATTTTTTTCGTGATTTGGACAATTTTCTACGTAATAAAAAAACTTGTTCCCAGTTTCAATCTTGTCAAAATTTTAAAACAACTAAGTCCCTAAAGTTTGTTGATTGACACTGGAGTATGGTTGATGCCACGAGTGGGGGAGAAATAAAGGTCCACCCGGGCAGAGATTCCCCAATAACCGGGCAAGACTATATTTCCCGCAAGCCCCTCCACGACGACAACGTGAGGATACAGTTGGGGAAGGGGTTACAGTTCTAACCTTTTTTTTTACGTGTGGAAACCCCCTCAGGCTTTCACCCCACCAGGGTTTACGGCGGGGTGGTGTGTTGGAATCGGACCGACTAAAACCACACGGTGTGCCACTCTGCGCCTGCAATTAGAGAGATCCGAGAACTACTATTCAATTCCCTCCTAGTTACAGTTCTAACCTAACCTAACTCAAAAAAGTCAATAACAGTAGATTCTCCCAAAATATAAAATAACTGACTGCCCGTTATCTAACGGGAAGTCAATTATTTTATATTGGGAGAACCAACTCAAATATCTAGGATTAACTGGGAAAATGTACTGTAGTCGGTTAATTTTTCTGCATTTATTATGACGATATTTATTAAACGCACATTTGGATACTATTGATATACTCGTATTTGCTCTTTCCAGCTGACAATAAAAAAAAACAGGCAGTTGAACTTTTGCGTTCATTGCATCACAACAACAGCCTATTATGTGACTATGACAGCCTATGATATATATTGTGGTCCACTGCTGGACATAGGCCTCTCCTTAAAAAGGAGGTTTTGGCCTACTATACCACGGTGGCCAGGCGAGTTGGTACAGGGTTTGTGAATTTTTTTCCTTCTCTTTGCAGTGCTGTTGCCCTACGTACTCTTAGTTTGCAATCATTTCATTAATTGTTTTATTTAATCTGCATTTACTACTGAAATTTGCATTGTTGTATTACTGCTTTTTTTTTAGTATTTTAAATTTAAATTTCCTTTGTACGACATTTACGAATTAGTATGATGTAATATTATTTTTTGTTAATCTGTGAACAATGTTGTAGATAGTGTTTATAAATTTGGTATACTCGTATGAATTGTATTTATTTATACTAGTAAATTAGTCTGGTTTCTTCTTCGTTAATGATAATGAAATGATCAGTAGACAAACATATTAAATGTCCTATAGATTTTGAAGTTCTCTTAAACATTTTTAGAACTGGATATTTCCCTTAGGCAATGTCTGGATAGCGTTGTCTTAGTGTGTGTGTATCTACAGTGACATTCTGCTTAAGTGTTTCGCAACTTGTAAACGACAGAACTTAAAAGGCATGCCTAGTAATCTAAGATGTAACTGTTCTTTGTTGTAATAGATAAATAATTAAATAAATAGAGATGTCATTGCGTTGTATACCGTGGAGATGGGTGCGAGGGGTATACCTTCCATAACCTACTTAAAGACCTTGGATTGCCAAGAGCTTCAGTAAGGTCTTTTCTTGAAGGAATATCCAAAGCGGCATTCCTATGCTCATATCAAATATATCGTAATCAAGTAGAGGGAGTAACACAGCAGACAGTGGAGGTGAATGCTGACGCGTCGCAAGGAGTACTCCCTAAACCTACTACTGGGTCGCAATTTCCAGGCGCTGTCGAAGTCGCGTGTGTTTCCCCCATCTATCGTGCGATGGACCCGGCACCCGCACGGTGAATCCATGGAACGCTAAGAAATAGGTCTCATTTCCGTAATATTTTTACTAATCAGCTAAATCTCTGTTTCAATGTGTATCTAAATGTTTATTCACACACGATTAATATTAGACTATAAATACTTACACAATTTACTAACAGAGAAGAGTAACAAAAGGTATTTAAACATGCAACAGCAGTGGTATGGTTGGCATTGTTGTTAGTCACGGGTGTTGTCTCTGGCTTACACAACTTATACTAGTGGCAATGGAGATAGGATTGATCCCAATAAAAAAAACACCGAAGCAAAATGTCCGATAGTTTATGGTCTTGACATAAACATAATCTACCCTTGCTTATTTAATTTTTGCTGAGTACAAGCGATAAACCTATGGAAATAATGCAACAATGAGTAGATGTAAGGGCCGACGCATTCCATATCCTTGTTCACCAAGTAGCCAGTCACTATTCCTACCACTATTTCTTCGCCACGCTCCCAAGTCGAAATAGGTCCACCGTGATCGTTCTGAAAAACGAAATCATGATGTTTAGAAATCTATACTTGTAATTAAACTGTTACAAGTCTGTAGTTATCAGCGAATGGAAACAGAGGCATTTTATTTTAGGCATTTTAATGCCCACAGTTTGCTGACCATGCCATATGCATTATTTTTAATTTTCGAGAACTGGTCAGATATACTTCGACAAATTTAAAAAATAGAACGTTTGCGCTTGCTGAAAATAAAGTCGTTTTTTTTCCACTATCAAACGCTACACTAAAGATTCAAGCTTTGAAGAACGTAAGAGGAGCGGCCAACCTCGCATACTAGCCACCACACCTAGGACAGCAGCGGCCATCAAAGCAGTGAAGGCACGAATCCTAGAAAATCCAATACAACAATCTTTGCTCTTTAGATGAGGTACCTACTACGAGGACTATCGTAAAAAGACCGGATATTTTTCGAATGAGCGTTTGAAAAAAATCAGGCTGGAAAGATGCAATGCTTTGTTACGGCGGTACGCGGGAATAAATTACAGAAAAATTATGTTTTCGGATGTAAAATATTTTACCGGTACGTTGACTGCCGGTAAAATTGAGTTCATCGGACGGGCCCTCTTCTAGTCTGAATTAAGTCCAGTGGAATCTACAAGATATTATGACATTTGGAGGAGAAAGTCTGCGCTAAACCTCATCAGAATTTTAAGTCTCTCCGAGCATCTCTGGTTAAAGCAGCGACAGAAATAGATATAAATATGGTGCGTGATGCGATCGTTGAGTGGCCACGTTGATTAAAGGCATGTTTTCAAAATAGTTAAGGGCATTTCGAATAATGTAATTAAAATTGTATTGTACATTTAATCACCTTTCATTTCATATATAATTTTTAAATAATTATCAAAACGTGTATCATTAATTACATTAAAAGTTTTTGACAGAATTTACGACCAAAGTAATTTTTGTCCTACTATCGTGTTAAAGCATAAGCTTATTGCAATCAACCGGGCACATATGTTTCAAATTAAACTCTCATTTAGAAGACTTCCGCCACACGAGGACGTCACCCCTTCATGGCGAGTGGGAGGGGAAACCCGTTCACCAGAGACGGCGACATGAGGCGCTGGAAGCCACGCCAGCCATGGACCGTGTAAAGGCTAGTAGCGACGAATCCTCTCCGATGACGATACTTTGACCGGTGTGTGCTGAGCCGAGTTCAAACTGCATTGCAGTGGTGACAGGCGCAACTCAATTCACTGCTGGTACAGTCGATCGTTAGGAGTGAATTAACAGACGTGCCTAGAAAAAATGTGTGTCAGTCGGAAGGAAAGGGTCCCGTGCTGCCACCCTACCCACTAGACGATGACCGGCTGGACCGCCTCCATGACGCCAAAGCCAGTACGGGGAGCCTCCAGTCAGGACGACCAACGAGTCAAGCGGCCTTTAGCCACTAATTTCCGCCTGAACATTCTATGGCAGAGATCCGCCAGCATCCTCTGAGAGTTAGCACCCTCAAAGCGCGCCTTATTTTGGTCGATCAGAGCTTCCACTCACACCGTTGCACCGTATAGTGCCATTGACTGGACAACCCTGGTCTATTACTACAACTTATAGAGTAATTTTCACTACAGCTGCAGCTATAACAACTGCATTTTTGTGTACACGCACTAGACTCAATCCTCGTGGGTATCAAAAAATGAAAACAAAGAAGTAGTGGCAATCACGTAATATAAATTCTAGATGTCAACCTTAAGCATCTCTTTAGAATGTTTTTTTTTTTATATTGTGTAATGCATACTTACTGACACACTTCTTTTTAAGTTAGGCAAATATTTTTCTATGTAAAAAATTCTGTGCGCGCCCCTTTGTAACCTTGCGTCCCTAGGCACGTCCCTACTTTGCCTTAGGGTTAATCCGCCACTGCTTATAATAGATTATATAAACCCAGCAACGGAACAATTCATTTTATCTAAATAGAAGATATTTTCTTTGGTTTTTTTTAATTGAAACTGAAGTCGGAAGCGTATGTTTTTAAGTTTTGTCTACTGTATGTTCTTCAAATGACACTTGATAGTTTTTATCCTTATATTCAGTACGGTGCCCTTGAGAGAGGGAATGTAATTGCAGTAACACCGCAACTTGAGGCATCACATTCTTTGCGTTCCCATTTAAACCTTTTTCCTTTTTCCCGTCTGAAAACCTTTACATCCATAAGGTTGGCGCCAGGCAGGTTGCCGGCCTCAAAAGAAATCAGCCAAAACCCTTTGCAATATCACACATTGCACTAACACCAACTAACAATAAATTCATGCGTCATAATATAGTTCTCACTTACATAATTCTCACTTACATATTATTATAATATGATATTTATATGTATAAACTATATGTATGTATATCTAGTACTTATATATCTGTAGGATTTGTTCTTTTCCACCATTGTAACATGGCTTCATTCAGTCTCATCTTTACCTGTCCCAAATATACACCTGCCACACACAGCTTTGCAACACCCAAAGGTTTGACTGGAAGAAAATGCCTGAGGCATTAAGTCCGCCTTATGCAATATGTTTGCAGGAAGACTCAATAAATAAATAATTGGTTTATTTCTCACCTGACAGGGTCCGTGCCTTCTACCAGTTTTGTATAAGCTTTTTCTTAACGCAATAGTTTTATTTCTGCGTACACCAAGCACGTCTAAAGCATAGACCTGCAAACGGTAATAAGTTTGCCTTAAAACGGTTCAACTAAACGATATAGCTTTTTTAAATGCTTTTTATTTTAAGAACTATACAATTTTGGACTTGTTTACACTGGTTTTATTGCTCTACTGGTATTACTGAGAGCCCGAACCCCTTTCCTAATCGATAGGGTCAAAGAACAAAATTAAAAAAAAAAACAAGGTAGGTAATCTTTGATAAAAAGAATTTTGATTGTTTTTAATGCCATTTATCTTTGCCTATAACGAAGTCACAATCACATGTGAAATCTCTGTGACTTCATCAAATGAATATGCTTACTTGGGTACGATTTCTTGAGGTATAGGTTACGTTGGCACGCCGTGTACCTGTTGGCTCGCCGTAGATATCTAAAGAGGATTCACCATCTGTGCAGAATCTAGGCCTGCCATCATTTGATATTGAGTGTGCATAACTTTGATCGCACTCATCTAAGGCAATCACTTTAGTAGTTGTAGCCATTAAATAATCCTGGTTTATGTCGAACGATATATTTTCCTGTAAAATTTATGTAATTTACGAGTATAACTGATTTACCTAACTTTTATTATTAACATTTATAAAATGTCAATTAAAATAAGTAACTTAATTTGATTATTTATGTGCAAACGTCAAATAAATTCTCCATATTTTCGCCTGAGCAAGCACTAGGACCCCTATCATATTATGCGACCATAACGCATTAAAGAAAAGCCAGGGTGCGAAGGGACCCTTTCTAGGGTATGCCTGGTTCCCCGGCTATTAGTACCCGAGACGGCGTGCGGTTTTAGTCGGTTCGAGTCCGACATGCCACCGACAGGTGATATCCGAGGAGATTTTCGCACGGAAAAAAAAAACAAAAAAAAAAAAGGGTGCGAAGGGACCAATCTTTAGTCCGTTTTGACCAACGCTTGTCTGTAGTTTTCCAGAATATCAAAACAGTTTGTCTGTTTTACAGAAGTAACGGAATTATGGACTTGTTAGTTGTGTTGCAGTTTCAACTAATCCGTAACTTAAAACATAATATAATAATCAGAAAATACTAGCAGTTAGATGACACCACACCAACATAATGTACACACCACATGCTGTATTTACTTGGTTTAGGCCCGTAAATACGATGGAACTAGCTAAAAAGTTGAGAAAATAAAAATTAAAACCCAAAATAATATCCCTGAAATGTACACCAGATAAAAACATACAATAAATTACTTACAGTGAAATTAGTCTCGAGAAATTTTTGCATATGTAGTGGTGTGTATATTACTCAGATCTTAGAGCGCGTTTCCACTATATCGTTCTGGCCTATACAAAAATGTTTCGATATCCTAACATTACTATTTAATTTTATACTTATCCCTAGCAACACTCTGATTTTTGTTTTCAATAATAACAAGTTTTTATTTTAAAGAAAAAGGTTTTGACTTTATAAAAAAAAACCCTTTTAAAAAAAAAGTTGAACCGACTTCAAAAAACACCGACAAAGAGCACTAAAAATTAAAAAATAATTACAAATCTAAGTAAAAAACTATAACAAGTACCCTCAATGTAACAGGTAACATTACAATACCAATAGTCCCTTCTAGTCGGTTTGAAGTCGGTGCCAAGCCAAATAGGTGCTTGATAGAATGTAGCGCGGCAGCTGCAACAGTCTTCATGCTGCGCAAAACATGTTGAACGAGCTAAAGTGGACGCACATCTCCCATTATATTATTATTTTGAATGCTTTAATAAGGAGTTGATACGTTTGCGCACGTAATTGATCTGGTTGGTCTTTATTAATTAACAAAATCTTCGATGTTTCATTAGAATTATTTTGAATTCTTAATTTTTCATTGTGCTAATATAAAGCTGACATAGACCAGTATTACTTATTGTGCATCGAGCTTGGCACCGACTTCAAACAGACTAGAAGGGACTATTGGTATTGTAATGTTACCTGTTACATTGAGGGTACTTGTTATAGTTTTTTACTTAGATTTGTAATTATTTTTTAATTTTTAGTGCTCTTTGTCGGTGTTTTTTGAAGTCGGTTCAACTTTTTTTTTAAAAGGGTTTATTTTACCATTTTTAGTGTAGGATATGTTTGTAATGAGTAGATAAGTACGATATTTAAAACACTACGTACCGTAATGTATAGTAACAAACTGTAGTTTGTTAGATTATATTAAATATTATATTAAATTACTGCTGGACATAGGCCTCTCCTACATTGGCGTCCAAACTGATCAAGATCAGCTTAAATTCTTTTCTAAGAAACAGTCAAATTCTTGTGAGTTGCAACCGAACAAAATAACTTCCGATTCAATTGACACTGACCTCGAAGGTGAAGATAGGGAAGCTTTAGTGAGACTACTCAACAAATATGCTCAATATTTTATAGAAGGAGTTCCAACTAGAAGGGTTAATACTGGTATGTTAGAAATTAACCTAGTTGACTCACACAAAATTTAAGAGTTTTTTCCAGAACTATTTTAATAAATTAAGTATAAAATTACTTACAAACGAAATGCGATGCCATCCATAGCAACAAAACGTCTATCCGAATTATTTTAACAAGATAAAATACAAAATTTCAACCTTTTCTTCTTATTAATACAACGAAAATTACTGTGGTGACATAAATACTGTAAGTTCTCTGCGCATCACATCGCGCAGTCTCTGACGGTTGCCATGGTTTTAAAAAAATACTCGTAGCTAAAACACGTTATCGGGGCTGTCAAATTCCCAATAATTGTGAGGGTTTCCCTCGATTTCTCTAGGATCCCATCATCAGATCCTGAATTGGTGGTAATGGGACCAATTCGGGAGCATACCCTTACGATTACAAAAGGAATTTTCAAAATCGGTCCACAATTGACGGAGAAATCGCGTAACAAACATACATTAAAAAAAAAAATACAGACAAATTGAGAACCTCCTCTTTTGTGTTTTAGAAGTCGGTTAAAAAGAAAACATACTGTCGAATCAAAAACCCTCCTTTTTTGATGTTGGTTAAAAATCGACTAGCATGAAGCTCCTAGTCGAGACGAATCAAATGAGCACAAACACGGCGGAATTGCTTTATTTTATTACAGAGTTCCCATGGCTATTTACCGTCTCCATCATCAGACCCTGAATATCACATAGGATCGGAGTCCTTATTAATTAGACTCAAACACATTCAAATTCGATGGTATTACATAATTTTGTTACAGAGATCCCATACTCCTAAACCATTCATCATCAGCTCAGCAACATCAGATGGTGACCATTAGATGCAAAAATCTACATAGATTAAGATAATTTCTGATAAACAGTGTATATGCCTACAAAATTTGAGGGTTTCCCTCGATTTCCCCAGGATTCCATCATCAGATCCTGACCTGGTGACAATGGGACCACCTCTGACGTATGACCTACCAAATAAAAAAAGAATTATTCAAATCGGTTTATAATTGCCGGAGTAATCGTGTAACAAATATACAAAAAATAAAAAAAAATAAAAAAATACAGTCGAATTGAGAACCTCCTCCTTTTTTTGAAGTCGGTTAAAAAAGGTGTGTGTGCGATTCACACACGATAGAAGTGAAACTTCAAAGAGGAGAGACCGATATTTTTTTTTTTATTTTTTTTTTGCCTTTCATCTAGGTTTTTAAAACTCCGGGGGGTTTACGGGGGGGTCAAAATTTTTGTTATTTTTGGCCTAGGACGCACCGTTTCCGAGATATTTCAATCTAAAGCAAAAAATCGACACTTGATAGTGGAAAGTGGAAACACGCACAAAACCAGAATAAACCAGTTTACGCTGTCCGCAGGTGCCACTACTACAAACGCAAAAATTTACCTGTAAACTAGGTTAGATAAGTACAAGTGAACAACAATATATTATAGCATGTAGATAGAGATTTGTTTTTGTTTTTTTTTTTATCAAAAGGCCTTGCTTTCTTTCATAAAGTTTACATTTTATTTGTGTAGGTACTCATGATAAGACTGCGTCAGGTCGCTTTTTTCTACAAACTCACGTACGTCATAAAACATTCCTATTTTATTAGTATTACTAGCTGTACCCTGACACGCTTTACATTTTTAAGAAATGAGGAACAAAACTGATACATAAAATAGATAACAACAATCTTTGATGCGGGTTGTATAACGGGTCAAAATTTGAGATCAATCGGTGCAGAAATTTTTGAGGTTTTCAAGCCTAACCTATAACTTATATATATAAGCGGGTCATACAAATTTATTTTAGGAAAAAGGCCAGTAGGAAAAGCAGCAAGTGAAAAATTAATTTAAATTTAGAATTAGGAACTCTTTGGGAACCTGTAGATGTTTAATGCATATAGCAGCAAAATGAAAAGTCGAAATGGTAATGGTGGTAATTGCGGCTGTCGGCGTCAAATCAATAACTCTGGTGGGCACTGAAAATCAGTACTGGGACGGACCATGTCCATCACAGTAAATGCTGAGGGTCCACCTATTCTGTGGGACACAGCGTACAACTCTCATCCGCACAAGCTATCTATGTGGTTAAGATTGAGAGGCCTGCTTGGTTACATGCAAAACATAGTTTCTCTCTGGTACCTAACCTAAAATAATAGTGATCACCACGTCAGCGCCACGTCATATATGATCGCAGTCTCACAGACAACTAAATACTCATGACCACAGATAGCGTAGTATAGTGTAGCACGTACGTCAATAGTTATAAGCTTTTAAAAAATGGCAATATACACTAAATGATTTATTATTACTTTCGAAGACAAAAGGACTGTTACTGCAGATTAGTGTGTCAGTTATTGTCTACCAGTTGTCTTCACATCTTACTATACCACGCTGGCCAGACGGGTTGGTATAGGGTTTGTGTCAAGTTTTCCTTCTTTTTGCAGTTCTGGTATCCTGCGTTGTTTTGCGCCCTTAGTCGGCTCTTACGACACCCACGGGATGAATTGGGGTAGTGACATTCCGTATTCTTAATCCGTCACTACACGGACAACTGGTCTTAGCAAATGTTAAACAGCAGCGCCTAAGAGCCTCCAGCTGACTGACCGCCAGACTGACTATCGAATATTTGGCTATCGAAGGTGTGGAGCTAGTAAGTCATCCCTCTTACAGTACCGATCTGGCACCTTGTGACTTTTATTTTCAAAAATAAAAGATAAACTTTTGGGAATTCGTTTTATGAACCCTGAAGATGCCGTGGCTGCGCTTTCAAAAGGCGTGAAAGAGATCCCTAAAGAGAAGTTGTCTTACTGCTTCGGTCAATGGTTCCATCGCATGTGACGCTACTTAAAAAGGAACGGAGACTACTTCGAAAAAACAATAAGCTGGCTAAGTGTACTTTCCGTATTAGCTACAACACGTAGTAAACTTTTCATGTACTTTCCAGTCTAGGCTGCCAAAGACCTCTGGTGGCAGATTGATTGTTGCGGTAGGGGATGGAATGGCCGGCCTGATTGCATTAGGATGCGATCGGGCCGCCATGCCGCGATTGATAGAGCCTGATTAGGCATGGTGTCAATTCGGGGAGAACCTGAAATAACATGGTCCGGGTCCTCCCCAGAGTAGGACACCTGAGGCCGGCCGTCGGGGTAGTTTTTAGTGGAATCATCACATACTCCAGGCTCCTGAGTCTCCGAGGAGCAGGAGATCCGAAGGGATTTACCACCCCATCAAAAAAAAAAGGCTGCCAAAGACAGCTTGTAAAGTCAGCTTTATATAAGTATTCTTTGCATCGCTATAACTGCAATAGTTTTCTAGTAGATACACTTAAAATCAGTAATGTCAAGGGTTTTATAATTATACCAATTATCTACCTAAACTTCACGTTCAGAGTCAGAGACGTGTCAGCGGATTGTGAAAAAGTTGCGAGTTGTTCTTTCGCTCACTGGTATAATTAATCGAAGCGCCTTTATTTTAACGTTTTCCACTTTTAGATTTGCCGACAGGTTATTTTTTTCTAATATTTTTAAAATTTTTAGGATACAGTCAGTCTTACTTACAGGTTTATGATAACGATTCGATCCCCAGCCATACACGACGACATCAGTGCCTGGTTGCAACACACGGTATTTATAATTAGCTACGGTTGGCTGATACGAACATTTTTCTGTAAAGGCTTGATTATTGAAATCATATGCTGTTTCTAGCCTCGCGATAGCTAAATCATTATAAGCCCATGCATGGTGTAGTCTGAGGTGTGGATCTAAAATAATTTCAATCTAAAATTAGCTCACTGTTTGTCATCGCTTAACTTTACTTCGCTTCGCTTCGCTTTACTTCGCTTAACTTTTAGTAGTTACTCCGTAGTTCGGTGTGTCTACATTAGATGGCGCTGTAGTATGTTTTATGTGGGAGTCGCCACAGTCTGTTTGACAATTTTAATTGAATTTCATTAGAGTTCCCATTTCACCGGACGTAAAGTTTTCATAGGTTATTGCTTGAACTTGTGGCGACTCCCACATAAACATACTACAGCGCCATCTAATGAAGACACACCGAACTACGGAGTAACTACTAAAATAAGAATTGCTAATCCTGTATCGCGATATAAAGAATTCCCGCGCCGGTTAGCATATATACAACTTCCCAACATCAACCGTTGGGCCGTGGGCTGCCAGGCATGATCACCTCGCCTGGTCGGAGGATCCTCCCTTTGTGTTGGAGGGACATGACACCCGTTCCTCCACAAACTTTTATATACCTATTACTAGTTTATAATGAATCCAGTCAGTCCAAAGGTTAAAATAAAATATTAACAAAAATATTTAACTATTGTTATTATGCTAATTAAATTGAAATGTTATTATTTAATTTAATTATTAGTTTAAATATACAAGTAATTCATAAATAGTAACCTCATTTTGTAAAATAGCTTTAATTTATGTTTTTATTCATCATCATCATTAACAGCCCTTAATATTCCACTGCTGGACAGAAGCCTCTCCTTAGAAAAGAGGTTTTGGCCTACTATAACACACTGGTCAAACGGGTCGGTACCTAAAGGGTTTGTGTCAAATTTTCGTCTCCGTATTCTTAATCCGTTACTACAAGGACAAAACATATTATAATATTAATAAAAAATTAAAACCTTACAATAATGATAACATTTTTCAATTATGGGTTTCTTTGCTATTTCCATACATTCTTCTTCCTTCTTATTGCGACCCACAGCACCTGGGACATACTTGTTGTAGCCTGCTATCACGTACTGATATGGAAACTGTTTTAGGCATGCACCTGAAGTTACAACCATAACTTCATTTAATATAAAACCACCACATACAGTGTTACTATCAAGGTACTCGGTTAGAGTTTCATTTGATGTGTCCCAAACGATGTATACCTGAAATGTGTATTTTCAGTAAACAGTACGACAAAGAAACATAAATAAATAACATAAACTAAAAAGGATTTAGCAGATCATCTACATAAATCACTACTTCTGCACCAAATGCTAACAATTCTTGACAGAAATTTTTAATCGGCTTCCAGAAAAGGAAGAGACCTAATTATTTTGTTTTTTTTTTTATTTATTTTAAAAAGACAACTCCCGCATTAGGAATGTTACTTGTGTCGCGGGGGAATTTACAAACATCCATGAAACGGACACAAAGAACACCCAGACTCAGAACAACAATTTGTGGATCACACAAAGTGTCGTCCCATGTGGGGATCGAACCCACAGCACTGAGCGTAGTGGGAAGCGGCGTGGCGACCGCTTAAACCACTACGCCATCCGTGCCGTCAATTTTAACGTGTTACCTCAGGACTCCGTCATGTAAGAACCGATTTGGTATATAGATGGAAATTCTCTTTCGGTTCGATCCCATTTAAATTTGAAGAAAAGAATACCACCAAATGGAAAATACATTTTACCACAATTCTACTGAATTAGTACCACCGACTTCAAAGCGCCTAGCTCGACGTAGGCGCTTTGAAGTCGGTGGTACTTCTTTTTAAAGTATTTATATAGAATATTTTGAAATCTTACACACATTATATCCAGGGGTATTTAGTATATTGAGCATAGATACATATATATTAAATGACACAAAACCTTTGAAAATAAAACTAAATACCAAAGCGAACGAAGATAGGTCTGAGAATATAGGATGACAGACAGAATTTAATTACATACCACATAGCTTTTATCTATTTCTTCACCGTTAACGATGCGTCTTTCACATTTTACATCTAAAACAAAATTTATCGATATGAATAGACAGATTAAGCAGACCGCTGAATGTTATCTACATAGACCGTTACCAATGTTAGATCGTTGAACAGACTTAATCTGACTACCATTCCATCTTTTTCAAGGTGTGCGGCGATCTGCCGCATTGGCGTCAGGACCTGACGTGCGTCGGTGCGCTGTCGAGTCCGAAACTAGTGAGATATGGACAGAATACTCGGCTATGCGCCATTTAAAATATTATTAAATAAATAAATAATTAGGTAATATAATATTTACAATGTATTTTGACACATGTCCAGACTCTCCTCAGTTATTCCTTTTTAGGAGTTTGTTATAAATCTTGGCACACATCAACAGCCTTTAACAGTCCACTGCTGGACATAAGCCTCTCCTTGGAAAAGAGGCTTTGGCCTACTATACCACGCTGGCCAAACGGGTTGGTATAGGGTTCGTGTCAAGTTTTCCTTCTCTTTGCAGTGTTGTTGTTCTGCTTAGTTTTTTTTCCCTTGGTCGGCTCCTACGACGCCCACGGGATGTATAGGGGTGGTGACACTCTCTATTCTTAATCCGTCACCACACGGAACACATAGTATTTGTATGATAGAAAGAAAGAAATAAAAAACGTTTATTTTGGCAATAATACAAGAGTTCTAACAATTTTGCTTGTTTGATTTGATTACCAACGATGCCAAAAACGGATGCAATTCAGCCGTGTCAGATGGAAGCCTTACGCTGGTTTTCAATTGGGCCCAAAATGATGCTATGCGTATAAAACCAGTTGCAGATCCTAATTGCTACGCCGTATACATACATGATAAAGGGTAGTCCTACATTTTGGCATAACTATCTTTGGATCCTGTTGACCGATAGAATTTTTGTGAGATAAAAAGACTTCGTCGATTAAAATCGGCAGTCCGACTTTCGTTGTGCAACAGTAAACCGTATCCTAAAATTAGTACAACATAACCTGATGATAAGCATTTTTGCTATACTTTCTGTAGCAGTTTTGTACGTAATTGACTTAATGTGTTAATGAAACGCTTTCAACATATCTAGAAATATTACTGTTTCAGGAGTTTTATTATTCATATTTTCTGTTGTCTTCATTGGGCTGAATCCTGCAAAAGAATTTCCACTAGCATGTTCACTATGTACTTACAACGTGCCAAAACAAGAACCAGCAGAATCTTGCTTAGAAATTGGTACATAATACGGCGATGTAGGTGCGTCAGAACAAACTGCACTGCGCCACACTTATTGCGAAATATTGTGCTTAGCAGTAAATGGTATCGCTTTACTAATAATAGCCATATTACGACATATAAAATTTGTTTTATATGTAGGTATTTGTACATGTAAAAATTATTGCAATATTTTTCTATTTGATTCTATATCTTAGATCTAAGGTGCTAGGTTTTTTTTAAGGAATAGGGACAAACTAGCAGACGGGTCACCTGATGGAAAGCGACTACCGCCGCCCAGGAACGCCTGCAACTCAGGAGTCACAGGCGCGTTGCCAGCCTTTGAAGAAGGCGTACGCTCTTTTCTTGAAGGTCGTATGGGTCCGGAAATACCTCAGCCGTACCTACTTTATTCTCTCTGCTAATTTACTGTATGTAGGTATGTCCTACATACAAATCTATCCATATGTCTATCACGTATATATCTTGATTTTTCCTCTCTTAGAACCCTATTACGTCTGATATTACACAGAAGACATTTGTATGTTTATTTATGTAATCAAAAAAGAATGGATTGGACTTCAAGTAGATTATTATTGTGGTTACCGCACATCATTACTACATAATCAAATTGATAGTTTGAGTTTTTTGAAGATCTATCACTTGTAGCTCCAGATTTACTGACATATGTCACAAAGTATGATGGCCCAGCACTAGCAAGGTCCTTGAATAAAAATTTTTAAAGTTGTGCTATGTTGATCCGTGAATATCGCTATTCTGTTTAAGTTTTCTACTTTGGTGTCATTTATTTAGTGCCTATTATCCTGGAAAAAAATTGAGTTGGTTAGTTATTTTAGGGCCCGAGATATTTATGGTTGAATCTTTTTCTCCCGGTAAAATACACTCAGCAACGTTGGGCTGAAATAAATCTAAGTTGGCATAGTGGGAAGGGAGTGCCACGAAGACCGGAAGAGGTCATCCCTTGGGTGCTGGAAACGGCAAACAATTGGACAGAAATGACGTGGTTCGTAAGTGAGGTCCTGCTGCAGAATAAGGAAGAATAATAAGGAACACGGAGCAGTAGCCGCAGCCAAAGGGCCAGGAGGGGTCCTAGTACCGCGAAGTAATGCTAGCGCGGTTCCACGGTTCTAGGTACAAGAGAGGGTTTTTAGTGGGTAAGAATCCCACACTCCGGTAGTGTTGGATTCTTACCCATTAACCACTTCTTCTTCCTTATTCTTCAACAACTTGACAGGTGTCTCTTGAAGATTCCCTCCTCTCAAACATCATAAAAAAACTAGTATTTAAGGACCTTTCAATAGGGAATATGCACGTGACACCAAAATGGACAAAATATTTTTATTTGTAATTTTTATTGCTAAAAAAAGATACCCATACAATTATTTTTGAAATTTATGATAATTTAATAGTGAAATTTAATCATAAAAAATTGGCTTTTTTAAGATTCCCTAGCAAATTTCTAAAACGCAACGCTATTGGTTGAATAAAACGTGACGTCAACCTACACTGTCAAGAGTGTCAACAAAATGTGTGTATTTGTAATATTTGGTTTCTGGTGATTATTTGTTTCATTTTAAGTTAATAACTAATACGTTTTCAGTGTTATATTATTAAATTCCCGTGTAGAAAAACACAATGACTGAATATACTTTGTCAGGTGCAGTTTTGATATTATTTGGGCACAAAGGAACGGCACAATATTTATAATATGCTTTTATTGGCTTTCCATGGTAATAAGTTAATTTTTATTACTCACTTTTTTAACTTTCAGAAACTTTGTGAACTTCACTCCGTTGTGGACATCGAATTCGTCTGAAAGTGTAATCTGACGTCACAAAAAAAGCGCGCCAAAATGGACGTGTTCAAATTGCCCCAAAATGATAGTGATTTTAATAAAAAAAATTGGTAGAAATATTCTACCAGAACATTTCTATACTTTACTATAGTATCATTTTGCGCCATCTGATTTAGTAGCAAACCTTTTATTGACTTAAGGGTCTTAGTTACCAGGTCATTAAATTAAAAAAAAAAGCAAACCTTTTAGTTCTGCTATTCGCCGCTTCTATCTGCAAAAAAAACCTTATTAAAATGTTCATGGTCGTGATCTTACGAATAAAAAATAATTGATATCAATAAAACTATGTTTTGTGTTAGAACTTCATTACGGTGGTCGTTACCAATATAAAATTGTAAACCACACACCAGTGGTGTCGTTGACAATACACGGCTTTCAGCGAAACTGACGCCTCGTGTCCTCAGATTGGTAAAATAATTAATCCTATCATTGAATCCCGTTAACTTACCTTTCTTTCAATATACTTACTCCCATTAATTCCACCTAATTTCCAAAGTATCCGGTTGAAGACAAGGCATTCGCCCTTTGCATCACAATTGTCGTTACCAAAAAGCAGGGGTAGTAGTCCGTCTCTGTAGTCGACAGAGACGTACTTAAAAGCCTTATGGAGGACATACGTAAGTGTATTAAAAAGTAGATTTATTCATTACATTTAGTAGTAATTGAATGTAGCAATTTCAAAATCCTGGACATTTACTTCCCCGGGACACGACGTGTAATATTCTAGGTGCACAAGTATCGATGACGCCGGCTTTAACTCCAAAATCATTTAATTGGACCAATGTGATAAATAAAACAAATATGTAAATGTTTTCCTTGTTTTATTATCTCAGGAATTGTTTTGTTTTTATATTAATATAATATCATAGTTTCATACAGTGAATACATGTCAGCGGGTAATGACGAATGCACGACCTGGTACCAAACCAACTGCCCCTCATACAAACTTCACAACAAATATACTACATTGCCTAAATGAAAAGATAGGAAAATAAACTGACGAGTTAGTTTAGCCCAGAGACAATATTATGTTACCATAAAGAAATGGACTTATGAAATTACCATGAAGAGTTGTCATTGTAAAGATTATAAATTCTTCCAAAAATTTAAGTTTCAATAGAAATAAAATAAGAATGTCACAGGAGAACGTAGGCATTAAACGAAAAGGACATAACTGAGTGTTAGGTCGTGTTGTGTGCACCTAATATCTACTTCACAATCAACGTCGCCACCTCGGAGTACATACAATACATTATTTGGTCGTACACGCTATTTTAATACAAACGTACACAACTTTTACTTTATATCATATATAAACATTTATTTAATTTTATCATAGGTACCTATTAGAATTTTCTATTCTTGCATTTTTCTAGAACAGTGCTTTAAACAATTAGTAGTATTCATCATTAAGATTATTGTTGAACAGGAATAAGTCGGTTTTATTTGATAAATAAAATATGTATAGTACAAAAATGTAGATCGTAAATTTGCACAAACTAAAAGCGCAGACGCTCAAAAGGTAAATACTGGCTATAATATATATAATATGGTATTATGAGGCCATAGTTCTCATCAATACTGAACACATGACCGACAAGTTTTAATATAATTATTCAAAAGGACCAATGTATTATATTACCAGTTTCAATCGCATATATCGCTGCGTTTCACGAGATACGAACAATTCTACAACCCCTTCATGTTTTGTGTCAAAACATACAGATTACACTAAGATCGAATTGTCGACATAACATGAAAGGCCTCCATATAATATAGGTAAAAATACATACGTACAATGCTAAATCACAAGAATTTATTTATAAGATAGTTATTGTACCGTCAGAACAATATTTATACATCCCTCGATTAAAGAAAACAAATTGATATGAAGTTATTGTACTATATATAACAATGGATAATCTAGAACAATATATATATACTAGTATTCGATAAATATCTAATCAACTCTATAATAAATATGATCAATTTATTTAGACGAGATGATCTGAACAATATGAATAAATAAATCCAACAGAGATACAACTAAGTACTACATAAATTATCTGTGACACATTCAACATCGATCATATTTTACAACCAGAAAATAGCATAATTAGCACTGCAGAGTTAACGAACACAGAAAACTGTTTCACAGAAACATCAAGGAATAATTCACACCGAAAATATTAATACATATTCGTTGCACATACAAAAAGCTGTGAAGTTCGCTAATTACGATAGCGATACACCGACTCGACGAAACTTTAATCATACACGATAAATATTAATTTACAATGGTTACAACAACAATGGGATTCGGATCAACGATTGGGGTGTTACTACATTTAAATGGTAATCCAGGGACCTACTGCAACAATACACCTCTCGCTCTATTCCTACGCTATACTCCTCTTACTCTCGAACAACAAACAAAATCGCCGAGCTCTGTGGTCTCTTCAACATTCCAAATACCGTGACGAATATTTATATATGATTGTCTAAGCTAAGAAGCTAATATCATTATTACACAGTTCAACTGAAGCGAATGTTTCTCTTAGACAGAGACTGTGATTACGGAACAAGGCGCGCGGTACCGAGCTATAATACTGAGCGGTAACAGACAGCAATGAGCATTTGAAACTGCTGAGGCGTCTCTACACTAAATCGTTTTTTTTTTTTATTTTATGAAAATGTTTGCCAAATAAACATTGAACATGGAACTGACGTGTTCTTATATATTCTTATTAATAAAGTGTCTTAGTCCCGCGCACCGTCACTACCGACTTAAGCTTAAAACTAACCTGTATTTATCAAATTTTACTTTTATTTATAGCTTTAAATACACATATACACGTCAACGATGAGATTTAAAGTTTATTTTTTTCTTACATAAACGGCTATCGGGAGTTTATATTGTATACTTGATAACAGACAAGGATCGACTGAACAGCGCGGGCTTAGCTGTAACGCAAGTAAATATAACTACAAAATGTATTTAAAAAAATAATACACATATATTTAATACAAAACAACGCAACAGTACTCTACAAAAATTATCGGCATAGCGTGTTACATTAATAAATTGAAGTTTAAAACATAGTTTAATTATTATCTAAATATTATTTATACATCTAGTGTAAAAGAACGTCCGCGCGGTTCGTCGAGCCATAAACAACAGCGCCTAAGAAAGAGATAACAACATTAGGATATACCTACCCATAAACACATCAGTTGTAGTAATGTTACACCATTAGTTTACAATTACACCATTAATTTACTTTATCAACTATAGATAGCTTGCGGAGACATTCATAATTTTACACAATGAAGTCATAAGTATTTATACGCGGTATAGCTTTTTTTCTTCAGACAAATGTCTCGGCAAGCCTTGTGAACTATAATAATTATTGTATCGGAGGTGACACATTCGGCCCGTGCGCACTCAAGCAAGATGTTTACTACACAGCTAAATCAAGCAAGGTGATATTACTACCATTTTGGTAGGAATTTTCGTTATTAGTAAAAATGCAATTATACGAATTTCGATATAGCGACATTTATAACTTATATCCAATATTTTTTTTTTTGGAGAGTTTTATTAAGACTACTAATTTGACAAGGACTTCAACCGTTTATAAATATATTTGTTAGAAAGCAGTGTACATTACCGACAAAGAGAAAATGCGAGAAACCCCAAATATATATTTTTGTAACTGAATATTACGTTTGTAATTCTTCTTAAACAAATAAATTTGAACGGATGTTACCATTATATGCAATACTTGTTCAGTAAAAACACTTTTTCCTTTCTCAATACACAACCGTTGGTTTTTACCCTTCAATGCCCTCCAGACGATATATTATATATCATGTCGAAACTAAAAAGCTGCGTACGTGCATAACCCGCAAACATTATAACATAATAAAAATTAGATAATTATTAACAAAATATTAAAAGCAAACACACGATCTTCATTGCACATACATTTAGTTGTACTTTGACATACATACATACACACACATTGGAAATATACAAACAAGCATAAATCTACATTTATACAAAACTTGCACTGTGGCATTGATTTATTTGAACTGTCCATCCCTTAGATTCTCGAAAATTCCAAAATGTTTCTTGACATACTTAAAATTTAGCACAAAACATAGAAATTTTTATAAGTGGTTTCTTTCTAGCACAACTGTTAGGGGACAGGGCCTACTTCCTTTCTAGGGTATACCTGGTTCCCCGGCTGTTAGTACCCGAGACGGCGTGCGGTTTTAGTCGGTTCGAGTCCGACATGCCACCGATAGGTGGTATCCGAGGGGATTTCCGCACGGAAAAAAAAAAGCGGACAAGGCCTTCTTTAATGAATTAATAGGACATTAAAGAAAAACTCTTCAATCAAAACAAATATGTTTCAAATTTAATTAATCAACACCACGCTATGAGTTGATAATAATCTAGTTTTACACAAAATGAACATTAAAATGATTAAAGAACATAAAATTAGGTAGGTATTATTAGTCTGGCTATGGCAACACCTCAACTGGCCTTGCTTAATTCGAAAGGAACTGCAAATATAGTTGTAATTTTGGGTCCGATCCTGCACGTGTTCCCCTGGTTACGTGGATTTGATGGAAGAGGACCTGGCCTGACCCAAGCATTAACTCTGCTAAAGAATGAAGCGATAGCACACCAAGACTAATTCAAAACTGTTGAAAATAATAGAGCCAAAGACTTCCAAGACTTCTCTTTCACTAGGTTTTCTAGCATTATTTCACATTTAGAAACAACATTTTCTTGTTGGTATTGACTCCACAGATCACTAGTGATTTTGTGGGTCTCTTAGACTACTATCAAATGAGTTAGAACTTGGTTGTTAATATAACAAAAATAAACAATTTCTTAGTAAATAAAACAAATGCTATTAACCCAAAAGCCCATAAGCTTACAGAACTTTCACACCGTCTCTAAACCCTCATCTGATAACTGCGCAACTTCTATTAATTTCCTTGTTTCTTTTATCACCCTGTTTTTTGTTATTTTAATATTATTTTTTGATAACAAATACTTCCCTATGGCTAATGAAATTTCCATTGCGTGTGCTTTTACTTTGCAGCAAAGCATTGTCAAGAAAAGCAAATTTGAACGCCATACCATATTTATTTGATTACTGCATTGCAGACGTGGATTTATTATTATCTTCTGTTTTACTCTTCTTCTTTGGTTGACCGTACCTCTTGAGAATATATCATAAATAATCATAAAAATAAATCAATTGTTTAATTTAAGTGTTTGTTTCGGGTGGCACGTTATCATTTTAAGATAGGTCCATTATTAGTGTTCTGACAATATGCGCGAGAAAGACAGTTATATTGTAGTCTCTCTCTAATGCAAGATAAATTCTAACTATAGCATACTAATTAATCTCATAATATACAATATCAAGAATTCACTCGCAAGATTTTCAAAAGTGAATTTCTTAATTTCACACTATGGACATGACCCAAAATGACTATCACCAGGGTAATGTCCACAGTGCCCGTTTAATGATAAATTATAAACTAACAGACTATACAAAGTGAAGAAGCTATTAGGCCTCATTGCAGACAACAATATATTACAAGTTTATATTAAATTTATTTATAATTAAGTTTATCGCTGTGGTCATAATAACACTAGTTATTTTGCGGAGTGACCGCCAACCCTATAAACAATATGATGCAAAAAATGCAACTCGGCAAGAAATACTTCGTTATTATATATTGATAATGGTTGTATAGTCTAAAAATTCGACCAAGTAAAAGGATTTTTTTTAGAAATACTATGTGTACAGTACATTAATCACAAAAACCGTGTATGTCTGGTCATTTTACAAAATAACCGGTGTTATATAACTTGCTACATTTTACTATACACGCCCAGACGCCACGTTTTGATCGAGCCCCCAACAATGCAATATTGAAATTGACTAGTGAAACAATTTGAATTTTTGTTGTAATTTGTACAGTCATAGTATCAATATAGTTTTTCTAACTCTGTATACGAGTATTGCCTGTATACACTTTTTAGGTAAAAGAATAAAAATTAAACTTTTTATCAAAATTGTTGTACACTGTAATCATAATGGCCGATTTTCAACACTGACTGTACAATGTAACAACACCTATATTAACGATAATCATTTAAAATGAGATAGATATGCAATATTTAATCTTTACTTAATATCAGGCGAAGTTTATATCACCTATGGCTATGCCTCATTTGGAATGCAAAACAATTAAACAATAGACAAATATCAATGTAAATATATACTAGGTTTAAATAAAGAACGGCGATAAAATTTATTTATTTTTAATTTGTTGATTTTTTTCATTGAGCATAGACTATATGGGCCCGTTTTATTCGTCGTATCAACTAAAGAGTATATTAGTATAAATATCTTCTAAGTCGCCAAATATCACACTGATGTGTTCGGATAAGCGGGACATAAATCATATAGGTAGAAGTCTTACATCTTTTTTTAAATATTAATATGATACACCATTTATTACACGACTGAAGACCACGACCATCTCGTAAAATAATCGGACGAATTCAAATGCAATAATGAAAAAGAACCTTAATGCATCGAATGAGCGACAAAACCCCGTACTGACAGCACACTAGTGACGTCACTTTTCTTGCCTCGAGATGGCAAGAGCGAGCTGTAATTCGGCGTCTTCCCGCCGTCTTCTTTCTTCAGCTTCGTCCTGTAACCGTTTCGATTCAGAACTGGCCCAAGCCCATTGCTGTTCTTCTGTGGGTATCATGTCAGCGCTGCGAGCCTCTAAAGCAGCTTTTTTCTTTTCCTTTTGTTTCGTTCGGCCAATACCGCCTATCGTATGGACCAAAGACCTCGCATATCTGACAGGTTTGGGGGACTTTTCTTTTTTATTAGGTAGTGTGCTCGAGGGCCATGTTTCGTTTAAGTTCTTATTGTTATCAGACGAGCCAAAATCTGCCGCCCAATTGTCAGATTTATTGGCCCAATTGTCGGTTTTCCAATCATTATTTGAAGTGTTAATATTTTTAGTTGAGTCGTCTGTGGTCCACGCCTCAGACTTTTTCGTGGCGGGTTTGGCCCATGCGTCATCGGTGGCCCAGTTGTCGTTGGGCCATGCTGCCCAGGAATCGTTGTTGTTAGCTGCGCTCGGTGTAGAGGTGGTTTTAGGTGGTTTGAAGTCAGACCGAGTCGCGAACGGATCGTAGGCAACTGGAGGGGCAGAAACTCGTCCGCTTCGTTTGTCGGGTAATGTAAAATTGCCATTGATATTAGAAGACGGTGAGAAGAAGTCGTCTGTCTCGAAGCCAGCCACGGAGGTCGGTCTGCCGAAGGGGTCGGCTCTTTTCGGGTCGTTGACATCAGCGAAGGGATCCTCAATGTTGAAGGGGTCCTCGTATCTGTAGTCTTTGAAGGGGTCGTCGGTGAAGTCCATGGAGCGGTCGACAGTCTGGGCCGACACAAGAGTGAGTGAGACGAGGATAGCTAGTGGCGTGGGTGGGAGAGAGACAGAGAGTACGCACGTGTGAGCCGAGCCTCCTCCGCGTCCGCTTAGCGCTGCAATGTGGGGACAAGCACACGAGCAGTGGTTAGCATGTTAGTGGACAGTGGTACATGAGATATGAAACTTTGGATTATGTCACCTCACTACAACTATAATAGCGGCTCCCGACACTGGCATATTTTGGTCAAGGAATTACTATGATGCATACTGGTTCTTCATGATCCTTCTATTTTCAGTTTAAAAAAGAAAGATTTTTCTATTGTGTTATTACAATTTTTTTTTTTAAATCTGAACTTTTTTAACATTTAAGTCATCACAATCAAATTGAAAGTAATATTTAAGATGTGGCCACAATATTATCATGAAGTGTCTAAGCATTGCCAATTGTAATTTTCAGTAACATTACCGCTTTAGTCTTGTGACGTGACATAATTCATATAAAATATTAATCACAATAGGTTTATATACATTACAGTTGTTAAGATATTAGAATAGAGAATAAATAAAATAATAAGGAAAAGGAGTGGATCAGGCGTGTTTGTGTTAAAAGCTTTGAGCATGCAAACAATGGCGAATAATATTAAGGTGCTATGTTAGCCCTACCGATATATGAACTACGCTGCCGTGCCACTCCAATACACTGTAACTTTTGAAAACGACTTTTGACTTTGAAAGCTTTGTTACAGTGTTTTACCATGTTAAACCCTAATTTCAATACAATACAGTATTTTTTAGATTATTGTCTCTTCTAAAATACAGGTTAGAATAATAAGTGTTGATCAGGGGTACTAAACCGACGTGAAGAAACTGATTTAGCGTTGTTAAGGCAAAACACTGTAAGTCGAGTTACAGTCTTTTGGATTGGCACGGCAGTACCGGACCCCTAATAATGTTGGAACTAATACAGATATAATAAAAATACAAGATCAAAGAGTTTCATCGACTGCAAGACTATACGTCCGTTATAATAATAACATAAGATATTACGCCCACCCATTTGAACCCAAACAAAGCTGCAACTGCGCCTCGCCGCTTCATACTGCGCTGAGTGTTGTGGGCTTCGACTCTCGCATGGGACAATACGTGGGTAGTGTACAAATTGTTGTTCTGAGCCAAAGTATTATTTAACTTCGCACATTTTACACACGGTAGTCTGATCTCAAACTGAGCAGAGCTTGTGCTATGGTTACCTGACTACCGATAAACATAGGTACTCATATATCGGGTCCGACCGGGACTCCGCCCAGCAGACGCTGGAGGACTGCCCTGCGTGGGAGTCCGAACGTCGAGTCTTGGTCGGACAGATCGGACAAAACCCGCAAACAAATGCTGGCGAGTGGCGAGGCATGTGAAGCCGCGGTCTCCTGCGAGGACGTTATACTCCAGAAGGAGGCCGCAAAGCGGGATCGGGAAAGGGCCGAGGCCGCAGAGCGGGATCGGGAGAGGGCCGAGGCCGCAGAGCGGGATCGGGAGAGGGCCGATTCCGCTCGAAGGAGGCGGCGAAGGGGAAGTGGCAGAGGTCACTAAGGGTCGCTGCGGCCACATCTTGGGGCGATGTGACCCGAAGACGACCTGAGATAGATGACACTCCGGTGCGGCCGGGGGGTGTCGTCTAAGGCGGGACGCTGTTGCGATAGAGTTGTGTGAGAAGCGCGGCAGCGTCCTGCCCCGTCCTGACTTGTCTTTTTAAAAAGAAATGGAAGAAGATGGAGTCTTCTTGTGGTGAACAGACTGCTGATAAACATACTTAGGTATTTCTAAATTCATAATATATTTCTTTTTATGTTAGAGGGGGCAGACGAGCAGACGGGTCACCTGATGGAAAGTGACTATCGCCGCCCATGAACGTCTGCAACTCAGGAGTCACAAACGCGTGCGTCGCTCTACGTTGGATGCGGTCCAGAGGGAGAAGCTGGTACTGAGGTGCCCCCTCAATAGAGATGAGAACAGTATTCCATATGCGGCCGGACTTGCGCCTTGTAGAGCTGAAGGCGGTGGGCCGGCGTGAAATACTGCCTCGGTCTGTTCAGGACACCGAGCTTCTTAGATGCCAATTTGATCTTACCATCTAAGTGACCCCGAAACTGAACTTCGCTCGAAATGTCGATACCTAAGATTCCGATGCTGGCTGCGGAGGTGCTCTCAAACTGAGGTGATACGACAAATGGTAACTTTTTTGCGGTGAATGCACATACCTGTGTCTTTTTTAGGTTAAACTGGACTAGATTTAGTCGGCCCCAATCTGAAACCTCCGCTAAGGAAGTTTCAATTTCAGACACAAGTTTGTTTCGACTCTCGATGACGTTTAAATATGTAATTTAAATGAACTACAAACATACACAGAACAAATGATCGTGTTTATATTGTCATGGGTGGGATTCGAACATCACGACCTCTGGGATTACCAGTCAGGATCAGGATCATTCCTAGTAGATCAACAGAGGCCAGTTTAATGTATTTATCAACCAACGGTAGCGCAATATTTAAGGATTGAACTTGCGATCAAGTAGCTGCCGGTGCGAACTCCACGCATTAGGGAATGTACCCATTCTACCAGACTCTTTTTTTCCGAGAATCATGAAATCTCATTCTTTTTTTTTACGATATAGGGGAGTAAACGAGCAGACATGTCACCTGATCAGTCACTACCGTCGCCCATGGACACCTGCAACACGTGCATTGACGACTATGAATGCGAAAGTGTGACTGTCTCTCTGTCTGTTACCTCTTCACGCTTAAACCACTTAACCGATTTAGATGAAATTTGGTATAGAGATAGTTCGAGTCCCGTGAAAGGACATAAGATCGTTTTAGCCCAGAAATCATACTTTTACGGGGTTAAAAGGGGGGTGGAGTTTTTATGGGAAATCAATAACCGCTAAACCGATTTAGGTAACATTTAGTATGCAGATAGTTTGAATTATCAGGAAGGATATAGGCTACTTTTTACTGAAAAACCGACATACATAACAATTTATGGCTGAGGACTACACATATACTATACTACTTTTAATTGCTACAGCAAACACATAATATATATTGTTTAAGGAAAAAGTTCTTAAAACAAGGACATACATACAGCATAAAAAATGAAACATGCAAATGAATTAAAGATGAAAAGAGTGAACGAATGAACACAAAATGAACGAATGAATGAGCAAATGAATAAATTGGTGGCGTGTTGCTTGATACCAACATTACAGCGTGAGCTTCGTGAGGATGACATAGACAAACAGAGAAAGTAAAATGTTTCGCTTATTGATGAATGGCCGCTTTCTGGTATAGACAAATATTTTAGAATTTCAAAAAAAGTACAAACCACTTCTAATGTTAAATCTTGGCATTTAAAACTTGTTAGGATATCGTTTTTTTTATTATTATAACTTTTTAGTGGGTAAATATCATACATAAGCGAATGAAATAAATAGACAATCAGAAGAGAATTATGACAATAAGATATTAAAATGACAACGTTACTTATGTTAGACTATATTTCGTAATAGGCAAGATTCCAATTTGAACTAAAGTATCCTACTACAAGACACTATAATAGAAAAACAGTATTATAAAATCATCAATCATCAACAGCCTTTAATAGTCCACTGCTGGACATAGGCCTCTCCTTAGAAAGGAGGTTTATTGGCCTACTATACTATTCTGGCCAGACGAGTTGGTATAGGGTTTTTGTAATTAGCTGCCTAGTTTGCTACCTTAGTCGGCTCTTACGACACCCACGGGATGAATAAGGGTGGTGACATTCCATATTCTTAATCCGTCACCTAACCTAACCTGTACACGGACGGATTATAACATCAAAAAGTCTTATATTCTTCTAACCGAGCTGTACAATGTGGCCTCAACGCTTTAGCGAGAGGGTGATAATGACTCAAATAAAGCCCCGTTCCCCTCCTCCGTACACTATCTGTGATCCAGAAACAAAATAATGCGCACAGAATACCTGACTTGATTAACTAAGTTTACCTTCACATGTACAGAGCCTCGAACAAAAGTGAGCCATTTATTATATATTTCAAGAACCGAATAATAAGTGAGTTCTGACAATAGTGCACACACAATAAATCATTTATGACATAAAGTTGCAACACGGCCTAGACTTTAGATAAAAATGTAAAACATTGGACAAATTTTGCGCCATATTTATTGATTTTAGGGATATTAATAATAAAGAAATTACTTGAAAATAATTTATACATACGGTATTCATTGTTTTACTACTGAATATCCTATCTAGTATTTAATTTTGAAGTATGTGTTAAAAAAATATATCTTTAGATTTTTACATCGGCATTTCATTTTTTCTCAGGAGAAACCTTCAAACCTCCTTTCTCAGGAGAGGCTTATGTCCAGCAGTGGACTATTAAAGGCTGTTGTTGATGATGATGATGATGATGATGATGATGATGATGATGATGATGATGATGATTTCATTTTTTACATCTATCACATCACACTATTTTGAGTATCGACATCAAATATTTTTTTTATGGAAGAGGGGCGAACGAGCAGACCGGTCACCTGATGGAAAGCGACTACCGGCGTTAAACGGTAATAATATAAATATAATAGTAATTAAAAAATATATGTATTCCTATTACCAGAAAGCGATGCGAGAGTGACATTTTATGAACAATGACAAAAAACAAAAAAAAAAGCAAACGAATCACAATAAAATGCCATTCTCTAAACTATATAAATTACTCTTTACGTACATTTTACTTTCTCTGCAGCAAAAAAAAGGTAAAAAAAAAATATAACTTTTTAGCCTTTCAGGGTCTATTCTTCGGGGTCATCATGCGGCTACACAATAGGACCGGGGGTAAAATAAACATCAAATAATCAGATAAAAATTAACACAATCTGAAAATAAAATATTAGCATACATTATTATTTTTTAATAATCTGGTTGAGATATTGCCTTTTTGCTTTTGTATTTTAGTTTGAAGTAATATTTGACACCACAGTGGCAGTATAGTAATAAGAATATATCATAATTTTGCAACATTTTTTTTTATTTTAAATTTGGGTTTCCTCAGGACAATGTTTAACATTACAGTATGGCCTGGAATGTTTATAATTCGTCGTTCGACGTCTGATCTTAAACCATGCAGAGTCTTTACTATAACCAGACTACTGATTAACATACTTATATATTTCTAAATACATATTATTGACTACACCCAGATCGTGCTCATCACACAATATTTGTCCTGACTGGGGTTCCAACCCACGACCTCTAAAGCTTAGCAGTCCAGGTCGCTAACCACTAGACTAAAAGGAAAGAAAGACTTTTATAATAGATTTAATTTCATGGCTGTGTGACGCCAACTCTCCTCGGCAATGTAATAGTTTTTAGAGGAGAAAAGAAGAAAGCTAAAGACGGATTGCGTAGTGGTTTAAGCGATCACCTCGCCGCTTCCTACTGCGCTGAGTGTTGTGGGTCCGATCCCCACATGGGACAACACTTTGTGTGATCCACAAATTGTTGTTCTGAGTCTGGGTGTTCTTTGTGTCCGTTTATATGTATGTTTGTAAAGTCCCCGCGACACAGCATATATTCCTAGTCCGGGAGTTGTCCTTTTAAAATAAAGAACATTAAAGAAAGAGGTAGGAGATACTAAAGGGGAAGGGGGACTGAGTTTGCAGCAACTTGAACGGACCTTTTATTTATGAAAGAGTCCCCTCTTTGGAACAGGGTGAAGCTATGAGTGGGAACGTCACTGTGATATCAACTTGACCATTACCGATGAATGACATTATAATGACAGTAGATATTTCAACCAGATTTTTAAAACAACAATTTAGTTCAATTTTGAACTGAGACAATATATTTTATTTCAATAGTAACAATAAAATATGTCGTAAATTCTTTGAATATGCATTCACATAAAATTTATTTGATTTAAAATAACTGTTTTATAGCATGTTGTAAATTTTTATGACTTATATTAAAGGATATTACTATTTATTTATGGTTTTTTTTTTATTTCCAATAAAAAGGTTTTTTCCGAGCTAGAGATCCGTGGCGGCTGAATTTCGACTGTTTTGAATATCTTTGTTCTATTTCATTGATTAGTATAGCTTGACCTGTCATTGAGTTTTTTAATTTGTCAGGGTATATGTATATGGACCGCTATAGTTTGATTTTGTCGTTATTAAGTTAACTTCCGTGTGCATTATTTATTTAATAGTGTATACTTTACATTATATTTATTTAATAAGTTAGTTTTCAAAATTCAGCAGATATTTTAAGTGTTCAATATGCTATGATTTTATGGAACATCATTAATGATATTTATGCCAATTTGAATTTAGATATTTATTGTTTTATTTATATAAGCGGGTGAAACATAAATCAAATCAGTAAAATCCGTGAATGCATATTAAATAGGCTCGATTCCCTCTATTTATTTTAGTGTATTATTTTCAATTATTTGATTACTGTGTTAATTCAGGTAATAAGAATACTACAAAGACTAAAAGGCTATCTATATGTTGGAAAATCTTTAAAATATAAATTAATACATGCATACATTTTTTTTTATAAAAATTTTTTTCTACAAAAAATAAATGCGGTTTATCAAAACTATGGTTTATTGTAAATCAATCTTATAAAATGTTTATTCGTTGTATACGTTTCCAAGAATTAAACATTTAATTATCATGAAAATTAGCATAAACATTTCTCATGTTATTTATAAAAGTATAACATAAGGAACTTTACATGTAAAATTGTTTTTTTTTTTAAATCTGAATCGAGGAGATAAAAATCATTGACATAGTTTTTACATAATAAATAGAGAAAGCGAGTCTATTTTTATAATCTTAAAGGTCTTAATACATAACGGGTGTACCTTGTGCGGGGGGGTGGGGCGCGGCGGCGCGGGGCGCGGCGGGGGCGTCTTGTGCTGCTTGGGGGGCAGCGCGGGGCCCCCGCCCCCTGCGCCCCCGCCCCCGCCCCCGCCACCGCCCGCCACCGGCGCGTGCAGCACCGCGAAGGGATCCTCCTCCCACGCCACCTGCCGTACAACACCCATCTTCTTACTACACTATATGTCATTTACATAGCACAAGTTCTCAATCGATCGTACCCGACCCAACCAGAATTAGGTGGATTAAGTGCTGAGCTCCGTTTACCTCAGTCACTTAATCTATACTAATATTATAAAGCTAAAGAGTTTGTTTGTTTGAACGCGCTAATCTCAGGAACTACTGGTCCGATTTGAAAAATTCTTTCAGTGTTAGATAGCCCATTTATCGAGGAAGGCTATAGGCTATATATCATCACGCTAAGACCAATAGGAGCGGAGCACCAATGAAGAATGTTTCAAAAGCGGAGAAAATTTATTACTATTGAGAGACGCAGATGAAGTTGCGCGGGTCAACTAGTTAAAAATACAAATGGTGGATCAGACTGTAAAGCAGTCGTAAAGAAAATACCGCGTATTTACAAAAGTCTGTCATTGTGGTGACGAATTAAGAATAAAGAGTGTCACGACTAAGGGAGACAACTACGCAGGACAACAGCACTGCAAAGAGAAGTAAAACTTGAAACAAATCCTATACCAACCCGTCTGGCCAGCGTGGTATAGTAGACCAAAACGTCCTTTCTAAGGAGAGGCCTATGTCCAGCAGTGGACTGATGATGATGATAATGACAAATCAAAAAATTAAATTTTGATATTTTAATAATTGAAAAGGGACAATTCGAGTCACAAAAATGTATCCAATTATCCAAGGTATTCAATTATTTCTAACCACATTTTAACAGGGGAACTGTTATAATTTAGAAAACATTTGCAATATCACCGTCATAATAAAAACTTTTTGACCTATTTAGGTCCTAAATGCTAAAAACAAACAGTGTACTTAAACCGACATAAAAACTATAACTTACATCATTAGCCTTTGCAGTATGGTCTTGCGACGCGAACGTGTCTCCAGCAAAGGGGTCCGCGTTCGACGTGAACGGGTCTGTGCCGAAAGCGTCCTGCAACCGTCGTGATACTCTATCACACTAGTTCTTTATATTTATTTTATATTACAATAATAACTTAACTCATCTTACAAACAACCTTGTAATCCTGTTCTAATCACATAATAATTTACCTGGGTGGGTATCGAACCCACGACCCCCAGCTTAGCAGACCCACAGGCCAATCGTATATTAAGCTTACGTTCGGTCCTCCTCGAAGGGTCTTCCCTTAGTCTAGAACATCGAACTCTTGGTTTTTGCACTGTGAGCATACTATTATGCTGCTTAAAAAAATCAGCAAACGAAGATAATTATTTATTATTGTGAGCTGGTAATTAGGATCGCACAGACACTTATACACCAACTCGGTAGTTAATCCATACTAATATTAAAAATGCGAATGTATGTCTGTCTGTCACATCTTTACGCTTAAACCGTTGAACCGATTTAAATGAGATAGTTTGAAGTCCTGGAACGAATATAGGATAGTTTTTATCCCAGAAATCATCCTTTACGCGGGCGGAGATAATTGATTTAATATTGTTATAACACCGATTAAATATTAATTGTTGGCCCGGCAAACGTTGTTCTGCACTCATAAACTACTACTAAACTCGCGATAAAAAATGGGGGTAGGGCAGAGAGAAAAAATACTGTACAACCTATTCTTCATACCTACCAAATATATAACAGTAAATTTCATTCAAACCGGTCGAGCCGTTTCAAAGGAGCGCGACCAGACATTTATATTTTAGATTAGGTTTATTATTCGTCTGTTTAAGAAAACAGATTTAACGAGTTTTAATTTGTATAAAAAAATGGCGGTGTTTATATTAATTAAAGCTAAATGATTTTTTGACTATAGGAAATTTTCAGGCCTATTTTGAGTAGTTTATCAAGGGGGTCAAACCTGTGCGATTGTAGTCCCGGCCGGTGCGAAGGGGTCGGCGGTGGCGCGCTCGCTGAACGGATCCGCGTCGAAGCCGCCGCCAGCTCCCGCGAAACCATTGCGATTCGCGAACGGTGACTCCTCCTAATAAAATTGATTTGCGTTATACAAATAAAATATTCTGTAAAGCTTATTTATGTTAACCTAATACCTTAAACTTTTTAAAAATCAGTATTTGCTTTATATTTTTTTTACTTAAGTACAAGGTTAAAAAATCTTTTGCTTTTGTAAAATAAAATTCATGTTACCGTCAGTATGCGCCTCTTCGAGACATGGTGTATGTATTAATTAATGATATTTAAAGTTATTATTAATAATTTTACGCACTTTCTTTACCTTATAGTCATTTTGGAAAATTAAATCACTAAACCAAACATGGCGAGCGACAAAATACACTGTTGTTTACGCGCCAAAAATATTCATTTTTTTTTTCTTTTTTCAGTGAATTTTTTTTCCAAACCAGTTCTAAATTTTAATATAATATTTGTTAAGTCACCTCCTTGTTTAGCATGTTTTAACTAATAAGCTTGTTCTATTTTTAAATTACATGATAATTTTTTTGCATTTCTTTTGGATTATTATAAATAATAAAACCGCATGTATTTTGACTTCAGTTACATTCTTAAGATTTTTTTCAAAAATCTCATTTTTTAAAAGATCGCTAGTGGTACTAATTCTGTTGTTCGAAAACTCTCTAAAGTACACAAAAAATTCTAAATTCTAAATAGTAGAACTATTTATAATTTAGAATTTTTTTTCAAATTTTTTTTTTCAAGTATTACGTTTTCAGAATACCAAACGTTATTTGTCAGGACTAAACCAATTTTTTGTGATTTTTAGTTTAGTTTAGATAGTTTTCGAACAACAGAATTAGTACCAGTGCCGATTTAATTAAGTTTAGGACGATATAATATTCAGAGCATTATGGTTCGGTTTGCCTTCCAATTTCATATCCGACCCCATAGCTATTATTCGTATTTATAGATACTTTAAATTCTAATTACAGTAGCAGTAATACATACAAGAGCGTCATTCGGCGTCGCCCCTCGCACTACCCTCTCCAGGTGTTCAGCGGTGTACTGTGGCTGGAGCTGCAGTATCGTATGGGGTACTGCTCCAGACCCTGCAAGAGCTTCAACCGCCTCTTCCAATATACGATGCTGCTCCTCAAGATGGGATATTTTTATGTTTGCCTGTAATCACAAAGTTAGGTATGTGGTTGTACCATATTTATTTTGAATCTTAACGTATAATAGATAAGGTCGAATTTCATGTTGTTTCGTGTCACTTATGGTATTTGTTATTAAATAGAAAAGCGGCGAATGTATACACGGCAAACGAAATACCCGGTCAGTAAATACGAAGTGGTTGTGATTGTCATGAACTAGTGCAATTGAAATCTCACCTGGCTGACAGCGAGCACGGTCTTGCGCAACTGCGCCGTGATCGCCTCGGCCTCGGCCTCCGCGTCGGTCACCTCGGCCTGTAGCGCGCGCTCCTTCTCCTTGAGCGTGAGTGCGGCGGCGCGCCTCGCGGCCAGCTCGGCCTCCGTCTCGGCCGCCGCCGACTCTTGCGCAGACACCTGCGCGCGCAGCTTCTCCACCTAACGGACGTCGATCCACAATAATATTAAAAATGCGAGAGTTTGTCTGGCTGTTTGTTACCTCTTCACACTTAAACCGCTGAACTGAATTAAAATTATAATTGTATAGAAATAGTTTGAATCCCGGGAAAGGACATAGGATAGTTTTTATTTCACAAATCACCCTTTAAAGGGCGGACTGTTTCGTATTTAAAAATTATTATACTAATAAAAAGATACATTATCGTTGAAAATGCCACGATATCTTTAATTATAAATTACTCAGGTTTATTAAGTTGCTCATTTACTGTTGAAAATAACAGTTCAGAATGAATGATTTCATTCTTACCCGAGTAATCAATATCAATGTTATGTTTCTAAAATAAAATGAATGTTTAAGACCAACTCACTTGTGACTTGAGATCATTTAATCTCTTTTGTGCTTCACCCTTTTGGTTTTCTAACTGTTTTAGTGTTGCTGTTAGTGTGTCCAGTTCACTCTGTAAAAAAAACGTAACAATTTAAGATAAATATATATATTACTTATAATTAATTGGCCAAAAGTTGTTATTATCTTTTTTTTTGTAGACACTAACCATTTGAAGCAAATACCAGAAGGCCAATTCTCGTAATAAAAGTTCGGTCTCAATTCAACTTTCGATCTCACAACTGTCATAAAAGGTATTTCGTAGTAAAGTATTAAACATTCAAAGTTGACTGTAATGTGATTATATCGTACTAGCTGACCCGCGCAACTTCGTCTGCGTCTCTCAATAGTAACAAATTTTCTCCGTTTTTGAAACATTCTTCATTGGTGCTCCGCTCCTATTGGCCTTAGCGTGATGATATATAGCCTACAGCCTTTCTCGATAAATGGGCTATCTAACACTGTAATAATTTTTTAAATCGGACCAGTAGTTCCTGAGATTAGCGCGTTCAAACAAACAAACAAACTCTTCAGCTTTATAATATTGGTATAGATTGTTACCGAAAATTGAATCTGTAATCTGCTAGTCTTAGTAATACTTTACTATTTTACTAAGAAATATATATACCATATAAATATATATAATACCATATAAATACCTTTTATGACAGATGTGAGATCAGAACTGAATTGTGACCGAACTTTTATGACGAGAATTGGCCTTCAGTTCCTCACAATTTTGATGTTTTAATCTTTATGCTACTGCCACTTAAACTGAATACTTCTCGACATCTTAAGAAGAATTATTGAAAATACCGTGGGAGAGCCATACTTCTCAAATAGGCCTCCTCCACTGGAGTGATACGGTTTTACAGAGAACCGGTGTTATACAATTTTTCATTGCTTCTCACCGACTGAGGTTACCAGAACCCAAAACCCTCCCTTCCCCTATATCTGCGGGGCGAGGTTTGCAAACAACGGTCGCAAGTTATAGTCACCATCTGGCGACCTTGCTTGCTCTCTATACCTTAAAAAAAATAAAGATTGCAAGTCGACGGTCACGACGCTTGTCCTACAGTAGACTACCTAGGACTCGGAGGAGTTCCAATTATTTTATTTTATCATGGATATCAACATAATCATCAGACAAACCTGCAAGCTATCCGCTTCTCCACTTTTGACTGTCAATTCCCTTTGTTTGGCAGCCACCTCAGCTTCCAGCGCCAACCGTTCGCGCGCCAAAGCATCCACTTCCCGAGCTATCGCCTCTAACTCTGGTGTGGGCTGGGGACCAAGATTCAAAGCCGGTTCTGTCTTCTGCAAACAATAATAGTAAGAAGACAATGAGTGAAACTGATAGAAATATCTTCGATAGAAAGATCTTACATTATACATAGAGTAAAAACGGAGGCTACATTTATTTTTATCACATCACAATAACAGCCTTTAACAGTCCACTGCTGGACATAAGCCTCTCCTTAGAAAGGAGGTTTTGGCCAACTATACCACGCTGGCCAGACGGGTTGGTATAGGGTTTGTGTCAAGTTTTCCTTCTCTCTGCAGTGCTGTTGTTCTGCGTAGTTTTTTCCCTTAGTCGGTTCTTACGACACCCACGGGATGAATAGGGGTGGTGACACTCTGTATTCTTAATCCGTCACCACACGGACCTGATTTTTATAGCTGTTAAAAAATATGAGAAAAACGGGTGTGGCAAAGTGAAAAATAAGACGAATATTCTGAGATTATTGGTTAGCTATGCAATAAATTATAACATCGCTGTATATAGGAATACCTTTAAATGTGCGTTTTCAATGATTAATTAGTTAATAGATTCGGCCATTTAAATAAAAGCGCATATATTACTTTTTTTTATAGCACGACGAAAATATTTTTTGTGTAAAAAAAACCATAAAATATATAATAAAACTGAAACCGTATGGATAGAGAAATAAATGTTTGGACTGCACGGGTGGCGTAGTAGTAAGTTAAGCGGTCATCTCGCCGCTTACTACTACGCTGAGTGGTGTGGGTTCGATTCCAACATTGGACAACAATTTGAGTGATTCACAAATAGTTGTTTTGAGTCTGTGTTTTTTTTTGTCCGTTTCACGTACGTTTATATAGTCCCCCGCGACAGGGTATATTCCTAGTTGACTGTTTTTAGTGAAAAATAAAAATATTTGTAACTTTCTTTTTCCACAGAACGCAAACTAAACTGAGTTCAGTTAAAACAGAAAATTAATAAAATGAGGTTTTCGCGTCTCGACGATCCCTGTTATCTGTACATAATCTAACATACCTATAAAGGAAGTCACTTGTCCTCATAAAATTACTCAATAAGACAAAATACAAAACAGAATGTCACATTCATTTCAATAAGATAAAAAATACGTTTAAATTTAAAAATCGAACAATGTCGAAATGAATTTTTCTTGTCAAAAATGACATAACGCCATTACTTAAAATGTTACTTCTAAACCACATTCTACTTCTATTTATAATAAATTTATCATTATGTATATCTAAAAAGCCTATATACAGAGAAGGGAGAAACGAAAAAATATACCCCGAAATAGGTAACGAAACCAATAGGAATCAAAATTGGAACGCTTTAATGCTTCAGAACTCTAAAGACAGCCTTTGGTACCCAAGTAAGTTATTTTTATATTTACGTACGCTATATTGTACAGTTGAACACAGAGACCATAGAGAGAACACGGAGTACAGCTGCCTGTAAGTGATACAGGCAACAAGAGAGATGAATACCCGATATTTCCCTCTGTCTAGCTAAACTGCGGTTGGCTACTTATTAACCCTCTTATTCCCCAGCCAACCACAGAGCTCGGCTAGAAAGAGATAGAGGGGACTATCTATTATCCATCTTCTAAACTTCTAGCAATGTTTTTAAGAAACATAAGGTTGAAAATTGCCTGCACCCATTCTTTCGATAACCCATACAAATAAATCACTGCAATTAATATTATTTAACGGGAATTAACGCGATCTCTTATTTAGGGTCTTATTAGGGTGACCACGACCGGTGCAACCTGGTCGAAACGTCAGGCAAACCAGAGGTATGTAATACCCTAAATAAGAGATCGCGTTAATTCCCGTTAAATAATATTAATTATCATGGAACGCGAAAGTTTAAAAGTTAGTAAATCACTGCAAATTAAATTCTTTACTGCGTCTCTCATTTGTTTACACGACTTTCATTTGTAATACGATAGTAACTTTTAATCCTTCTCTTTTCGATATTTAAAATTCCGTAGGTGCCCGTGAGAGAGCCATGGTCAAAACAAATGACCCGCGGCTCGGCCGGATTGATACCACGGCCTCACAGAAAACCAGTGCTAAGCAAAAGACATAGGAATTATTGCTACTTTTAAATCATAGTCATAGACAAAGATAAATGGCATTAATCTCTCTGTTCCCGCCTTAACTTTCGTAGTTATTTTTTTACGACATCCAGCTTTCTTGGAGCCGTGTTATGTCTCAGAGAAAGAGGATCAATCATTAAAAAATCCGGACAAGTTAAGTCCACCCACGTTTGTAGGTAAATATGATAATAGTTCAGGAATTGAATCTCGCAGTCTTTTCGAGTTTTGCCCGAAACTCAGTTTCCACATCCTATAATTATTTTTTTATTTATTTTTATTTATTTACAACTTTATGCACTTATGTACAACGGCGGGCTTAATGCCCAAGGCATTCTCTACCAGCCAAACTTTGGGGGTGTAGAAATCTGGTGAGGTAGGTGAACTGAGGTTGCAGTTGCTATAGCAGTTATAACTAACATATACAATGACACACATACATACACATATACACGCATATACATATATAGATATAAATACACATAAAATACATATACTTTATATTCTTACACTGTAAATATGGAGGTGTACTATTGAGTAGATAATTCCGCCAGCTGAAGAAGGTAGTTACGTACATTCGTTTTGAATGTGAAACGGTTTGTGGACATCCTGATCTCAAGTGGGAGCGCATTCCAAAGTTGTACTGCTTGCACAAAGAATGAATTACATACATTGATGAGTTTTAAAAGAGAAATTGAACCTCAATGATTGATTACGTACTTTAAATAAAAACTATATTTTTTATGATTTAGTTACAAATGTATAGGTTTCAGATTTTTCCCTGTACTTGTAGTATAAGAGAACTTGCAAAATTTCAGAGTAATAGGTTTGAATTTTGATTCCCTTGAGTGTCGTAATATGCTTTTTTTGCAGTATAAACGGCCGTATCTTTTCTTACGTTTACTTAGGAGTTTTATTATTTTAAAGCTTCAAGGGACTGTAGACCTGAGTATATGGTTTTAATTTCAACTCCATACCTAAACGCGTCCCCGAGATATAGGGTCTTGAGAGACAGACAGACAGACAGACGGACAAAAAAGTGATCCTATAAGGGTTCCGTTTTTTCCTATTGAGGTACGGAACCCTAAAAAGATTACTGTTTAGATTTTTTTGATAATTGATATTGTTTTCTAGTGGATAAATAAATTAACTAAATTTCTTTACATTGTTTGGTGATTTAATTAATGTGATACTTCATTATATCGAAACCCAATAAAATTATTTGATGACTGATTTTCTTACCCACTAATTCTTAATTAATATTCAGGTTACCGTTTTGATATTATTTGGTGATTTAATTGAAGTGATTGATAAAATTTCGCATTATTGCCTGAACACTAAATGAATACACTAAAATAAAAACTCGTTTTAACACACAGTTGGTAACACTAGATGTGCAATATTTCACACTCACTTACTACTTCTAATCAAATTTTAAGACAAATGTACCCACATTTGTCTTAAAATTTGCCGCCGAAAAAAAAGTTAAAATCCAAGTCTTTCGACGTCATTTGTGTAATTGTTACATGTATATGTTGTTACACGTATAACGTGCATGTTTATAAAGTCTATTAAATAGCGTATTAAATAGTCAAAAATATCTTAACATTATCTTTTTTAATAATAGGAGGCGATAAGAATAAACTTTCCGCACTGTCATCGCTGTGGCGCGATTACTACCACTGTTCTTTACAATCGCTGACCAAACTAACCCACCACGGTCAAGTGCCGGCGACGATGGTGATGGCTTACGTGGGAGCCGTAGCGAGGTTGCCGTGTTCGGTCTGTGCGCCGCCAGACGAGAGACATATTCTTGTATGGATGTATGCTGAGGTTGGTAATGTCATCATTATCGACAGCCTTTAGCCGTATACTGCTGGACATACTCGTATGCCTACTATACCACGCTGACCAGAAGGGTTGATTAGTGTTTGTGTCAAGTTTTCTACAACAAACTACGTCCGTATTGTCCTGCGCAGTTTGCTCCCTTAGTAGGCTCTTACGACACCCACGGGATGAATATGTTGGTAGTGTATTTTGTGTGAATTAGTGATTTGATCGTCCCTTAAGAACTTTTATAAGAGACTAGCTGACCTGCGCAACTTCGTCTGCGTCTCTCAATAGTAATAAATTTTCTCCGTTTTTGAAACATTCTTCATTGGTGCTCCGCTCCTATTGGTCTTAGCGTGATGATATATAGCCTATAGCCTTCCTCGATAAATGGGCTATCTAACACTGAAAGAATTTTTCAAATCGGACCAGTAGTTCCTGAGATTAGCGCGTTCAAACAAACAAACAAACAAACTCTTCAGCTTTATAATATTAGTATAGATTACTTTGAAAATAAGGTATGTATTTAATGTATCTACACGCTTGTATACAACTACAGGTATAAGTAGAGATGTGTGTCGACTCGTATTTTGGATCGTATGTTTTTATATAGCCTAGCCTATTACTGACCCGTTCCTCTAGTGAAACTAATGGTTAGAAAACCAGAGGTCATCAGTTTTGTGACAAGCACAATCATTTGTTCTGTTTCTGGGTGTCATTTATCTATAATCTGTATGTATTTAGAAATATGAAGGTACGTTTATCAGCAGTGTATGGTTCAATTGAATTGGGTGAGGCCTATGTCCGGCAGTGGACGTTTTTCAGCTAAGAAAATAAGAAGTTTATCGGCAGAAGAGAAGAAGTTTATCAGCATCGACTGCACGGATGGCGTAGTGGTTTAAGCGGTCGCCACGCCGCTTCCTACTACGCCAAGTGTTGTGGATTCAAACCCCTCATGGGACACTTTGTGTGATCCACAAATTGTTGTTCTGAGTCTGGGTGTTCTTTGTGTCCGTTTCATGTATGTTTGTAAAGTCCCCCGCGACACAAGATATATTCCTAATGCGGGAGTTGTCTTTTTAAAAGAAAAAAGAAAAGTATGGTTACCATAGCAGAAGCTCTGCCTAGTTTGGGATCAGACCGCCGTGTGTGAGAAGAACAAGAACAAGTGAGAAGTTATTATTATTCAGAGCGTGTACGGGTCCCTTTTAGACTTCGGCAGCCACTAAGGAATAAACCCAATAACGAGTTTCCCATAGTGCATATCGAACCCACCCCCTTCCGTTGTTACGAATGTATGGAGCAAATTAATCAAGATATAAAAAAAAACAGTTCAGTTCATCTCTTCAATTTCTTTTTTTTTTATATTAAAAATACATACATACATAAATACATATTACAATTTCCAGTTGCTCCCAGTTAATAAAACATTCAAGCCTTTACAACATAACGCGCGGGCTGTGTTGGAACACAACCACTTGCAAATATACAACGTCAAGATCGAAGACGCTGGCATGTACCGGTGTCAGATCGGAGACAGCAATAGCCTGGCTGTATTGGAGGTAGTAGACACGGACGAGAAATATTCTGTTGTAAGTATAGAAAAATATATGCATATACATTTATTTATTTACTGGTAAACCAATAAATAAATAAATAAAACGGAACGAGGACCTCGTGGCTAAGTGGTAACCGAAGTAAAGGAGAGAAGAAAGAAAGAAAATTTTTTGGCACATGCAAAATGCCTTACAAAAAGTGCCAATAGCTCTGCAGCTCAGCATACTGTTGGATGGCCACAGGTGCCTTCCAACACTTGTTTTCAGCTGCAGCCCATATAACTGGGTGTTGTCAGCTCGAAACCATTCAAGTTTAGCACATTACAAAGTGAAACAATCCAAGCCAGGTTTGTCATCCTCTCGATTAAGAATCCTTTAAAGACACCTTTGCGGTCAAAATCTATCAAGCCGTTAAGACTACAGAGATTACCAAAAATATATACATACAAGTCGCGGTCGGGTAATAATTTAAATGGTTGGCCAGCTGATATAACTGCCCTAGTGATCATTCCAATCACCGAATTTAAAAAATTGGTTGCCTGTAAAGTCGGTATACGGGCGAAAGTTTTACGTGACAACGACTTTGAGTGGTAAAATAATTTTAATGTGAATATTCATTCGTATAGTAGGAAGAAGGATAAAATAATAGTAACAATTTAAAACATTTATTTATACAAAGAATTATATTTAAAACATTAATTTATACAAAGAATCTCGCACTGAATTTCATATTAACAAAATTTTATGTCGCCTTTCACTTTTTATGTCTGTCTCTCTCGCTCTTAGGCGGGCTAACCATGCCCGAGTGGAAGGGACGCGTGCCTCTCACTCGCTCTCATTGTGAGCGCATAACGTGAGCGGAGCGTAACGCAGTTTCTTGAAGTGTCACCCGGCAAACCAATTTATAAGACGTTGTCACGTCAATACAGACACGCCTTATTTCTCTCAGCCACCTTACCCTATTATTTTTCTTATTCCAATTTCCTTCTTAATTTATCCCGTCTGAAAACGTTAATGAACCCACGAAAAGTTAGAGGTCAATTCTCCTACATGACCGACAGTACTTGACAGCCAAGCCCCTTATTCTCGGAGAAAGGAACTAATCAATGTTTAGTGGTAAAAAAAATATAGTGCACAACATCAACAGGTGAAACCGTCTACTTCCCGAGGACCTTACGAATCCCCCCCATACAGTCTAAGTTACGATCTGATGATGTTCACGTCATGGTCACCGTGGAGCGAATGCAGCGTCTGCGGGAAGGTCGGCAGGCGGCGTCGGTACGGAATTTGCTTTCTCAAACTAGACAACAGAGAGGTTCGTACAAAGAAAATAATAAAAATTATGTTAATTCACATTTATCCTTTGCACCACACGTATAAATATATTAAGTACTAGCTGAGACCCGCGGTGTTACCCGCGTTTGTTGTTATAACCGCGGGCAACGCCGCGGGGCGAAGCTAGTCTAAAAAAAGTAGCCTAAGTTAGCTGTCTGCCAGTGAAAGTCCCGTCGAAATCGGTCTAGCCGTTCCAGAGATTACCCGGAACAAACAGACAGACAGACAGACAGACAAAAGTTGTAAAAAAATATATTTTGGCATATGTACCGTGTAAACATACATATGCATTTAGTAAAAAGCGGTTATTTTAATATTACAAACAGACCAATTTTATTTATTTGTATAGATGTATAGAAGATGGTAACGTAATGCGGTTGGGCAATAGTTTAAAAATACAGTAATAGTCGAAACTTGCAGGTAGTTTATAAACTTGAGAAAGACGTATAATTATGGATTATGAAGGAAAATCAATAAACCCCTTGCCGCTGAACCACCATGGACACAATATGGACATTAAAAAAATTATACCTTTGTTCTACGTTCCACGTGTAAAATGTATGCAAATAACTGTACAATATTTTGGTCGTGATCGCAAATAGAAGCATGCGAACGCACTCGCACACGTACACGTGCACGCTTACACCTTTACTTTATTACCAGAGGCCCAGGTGCTAGTTTATTTCATATTATATATATATAGTGACCACGTTCGACGCTACGATTGGCCCGCACTGAAATCTCCACCAATCACCAAGCCAAACGCGCTCGCCGTCGAGAGCGAGTCGTGTGTCAAGTGTGAAATAAACTTGCACTCAGCCCTCTGTATTTACATCACAAAAACGCAAGATCATCGATACCACAGTAGCGGGACAGAGAAAAAAAAACTCTTGTGTCCTGTTATCCTATGGTGGCTTCTCCTACCTTTTTTTTTCCGAACCGACTAAAACCGCGCGCCGTTTCGGGTACTAATAGCCGGGGAACCAGGTATACCCTAGAAAGTAAGTCCCTGGTGCCCCGACATACGTCAGGCCATCTACAGACGAGTAGACAACCCCCCCGTGTGGGGGCTTCTCCTACCCTAGAAATTAATGGACGTTTAAATATTTTTTCAAAGAGCTTTTTGATAATCTTACAGAGGGCAAGAAGAACCAACGACAACTACAACACTGAAGAAAACAGCAATATAAGTTTGGACAACAATGCGATACAGCTATTTGAAAGTCAGTATCTATATCCATATTATAAAAGCAAAAGTGTGTCTTTCTGTCTGTTACCTCTTCACGCTTCACATCAACAGCCTTAAGAGTCCACTGCTGGACATAAGCCTCTCCTTAGAAAGGAGGTTTTGGCCTTCTATACCACGCTGGCCAGGGTTGGTATAGGGTTTGTGACAAGTTTTCTTTCTCTCTGCAGTGCTGTTGTTTTGCGTAGTTTTCTCCCTTAGTCGGCACTTACGGCACCCACGGGATGAATAGGGGTGGTGACACTCTGTATTCTTAATCCGTCACCACACGGGTTCATCAGATCAATCTCTTCACGCTTAATCCGCTTTTAAATGAAATTTGGTACAAAAATCTTCCGTGTCCCGAGAAAGGACATAGGGTAATTTTTATGCCAGAAATCATCCTTTAATGGGGGTGAAAAGGGGTGAGGAAGTTTTTATGGGGAATCAATAACCGCTGAACCGATTTAAATGAAATTTGGTATGAAGAAACTTTGATTCTTGAGGAACTTTTTACCACGATAACCGATATTACCGCGGGCGGAGTCGCGGGGTCAAAAGCTAGTATGAAATAAATGTAATAATAATAATAATATGTAATAAATGTTCCTTTCTAAACAAATATTCCACACTTCTTTCTATCGTATTTGGAATACTACTAGAAGGAATAGGCTAGAATACTCAATTTGTATATGTATAACGCACAAAGCTGATTAACGGTTGCGTAACTCTACCTGGGTCCAGAATATATTGACCTGTCATCCTACTCAAAACTGCTTTGGCAAGATAATTCCAAACGATTCGACTGCCATGGGATCAAGAAAAAACTCAACACTCAAACTCTTTATTTCATAAAAAAAATAAAATAAGAGCATATAGGTAGGCATAATAATTACTAAAGATATAAAAAGGCTATAAATATTTGTCTTTTGGGGTAGTCTGATTTATTTACGCGCCTAACAGATGCAATTATCAAGAAGAGAAGCGATTTTTAATGGTTGAAAACTTGGGAATGTGCAAATACACAGTTTCTGTTGCACTGTGTGTTGCAAAGTATTTAATCATGGTAAAAGATTTGCATAGTTTGTGCCCTAACTGTCTATCATATCCTGCAATATTATACATGTAGGACTCGTTGTTCCTATGCAATCTTCAAACTCAAACTCTCTATATTTCATAAAATTTCCAAAATTGTTTGAAATCGTCTTTTATGTAGACTCTAAAGTCATAGATCAACACACACAAAAGCAACAATCTCTGTTTTGTCAAATAGTAATCAAATAAATTTAACAAAAATTAAACTCATACAAAATCTATGATATGCCTGTGCCGATCTACAACCGCCCGTTTACAAGGGGTTGAGCCTTATGAGAAGAAAGGGTAAAAAAACTCATGGCTGGCATTGCATGGGTCTATAATTTATAAAAAGAAAATATTATTGTATCGTATACTATATATAAAATCAAACTTGAAAATAAGCAGAAATAGTAATGTAACACTTAGTACACGGGGATTTAAGTTGATATTTTAATGCTTACCATAGCTTGATTCTTTTTTTAAACATTCTACTAGACCGTATCACACAACAATGTGCCGTATTATATTCTTCAATAGGTTATATTTAGATAATACGCCTGTTGAGTATAGTCTAATACTATCTCACAATACATGGTCCTTCGAGCCACAGACATTAAAATTAACCTTTTTAATTTTGAATGGCAATACAATGTCGTTGTCAAAATATTCTATATGTGGGTTTAGGGGTTAGTTCTAATTATAACTTATAATATTACTTGTCTTAATACAGCATTCCCTGAGGGGATACCATGCCGGTCTCGTTTTTTGCCGTCAAGCTTGAGAGAGGTGGCTGCCATTCAACAAAGGACAAGCGAAATAATGATAGCTTTATGCAAGGTTTGGTATTTCTATATGATCACCACAGTAGCACTCATGCCTAACTTCACGCAAACACGTATGGGTAACATAATATTTGACTGGTTCAGAGGGGTGAGCGGGTCTGTGAAATACCACGCTTGGTCACAGGTTCGGGGCAGAAGGGGTTTTGGTTTTGTCTCACTTACTCACTTAGGGTAGTCAAGGAGAAGCAAGGTGGAGTAAAAAAATTGTAAAAAATGAGTCACGTGGTATAAGGTACTTTTTTTAATATTTGCCAAACGCGAACAAGTCACAATAAAATTACTATACAGCGGTTAAAGATCAAAGATTTGATTTGCAGGTGACTTGTGAAGCAATCATATTCAAGGTGAGATCAACCAAGGGGATTGTACTGGAGACGGCCAACAACACAGCTGGTATATATTCCCTACATCAAGTACTTCCGAAGCAACCCCCTCTGCCTGCCAGAGACACTATATTCGCTAGTTTTGGAGATCATATCACTATACATTGTCCTGGGTTAGTATACAATACATCTACAATATAATGTTTCCCTGTACCGCTATACATTTACTTTGTTTTTTTTTATAATAATTTGTGGTAAAATAGAAGAATTCTATGAAGGACAAAGGCTAAGTTTTTCAGTTTTTCGTTTTGCGATCCAAGTTGAGCGTTCGAACACACTCCAAACACAACAAAATACTAGCAATGATCTATGTTACTCAAATCAAATCAAATCAAATCAAATCAAATCAATCTTTATTTGTTTAGAATGTAGGTAAAAAATACAAATTAGATGTTGTGTAAGTTAAGTAAGTTCCTGGTACATTCTGCCATATGGCATACAAATCTTAAAATAATAATAATAATAATAAAAAAAAGAACAATTATTAAATAAAATTAGGATATTAAAACCTTTTACATATAATATGTCAATAAAATTATAATGAGAAATCTTTGTTTGTCAAAAAAAATTACAAAAAATGTCATAAAAAATAAAACAATATAAAAAATTAGATTGCATCATTTAAATAATCCGTTAGACAGTAATAACATTTCTCCACCAGGAAGTCTGTCAACTTATTTTTAAATTGTTGAAGTGGCAAATTCTTCAATGCATCTGGTATTTTATTATATATTGTAGGCCCCATACACAATACACTTTTCCTTAGAAGTGCAGTTTTGTATTGGCCCGTCGATAACATGCCAGTGTATTGTGATCGTAGCGGTGCTGTTCGTTTTCTGCTGTCATTAAATAATGGAAACAAATGTCTGTTAAATTTAACAAACATTGCTATTTCCAAAATATATAAGCACGGAAAAGTTAATAATTTAAAATTCTTAAAAGCAGATACACAACTTTCCGTAGTTAATAAGCCCGCTATTGCTCTAATACAGCGTTTTTGAGATTTAAAAATCATATCTCTATCCGTGCAATTCCCCCAAAATATAATGCCGAATCTCAACACTGAGGAAACCATACCGTGATATGCTAATAGCAGTGTGTGTGTGTTTACCTTTTTTGCAAGATGGAAGAGTGCATAAGCAGATTTATTTAATTTCTTGCATATGTTCTCTGCCTGCGGCTTCCATGAAAGCTGACTATCAACAAGAATACCCAAAAATCTTGCTACATTTACTTCCTGTATGTCTTGCCCATTACATTTAATGCAAAATTTGTCTATCATTCTGCGTTGGAAGAAATGCATTACTGTAGTTTTCTGTAAATTTATTACTAAATTATTTGCATTCAACCAATTTACTATTTTGTGTAATGTGTTGTTAATTTCCTGTTCATATGTATCCCTATCGTCACACGTAATTATTGCAGTACTGTCATCAGCAAAAAGAACCATTGGTTGTTGAATTTGGCGTGGAAGGTCATTGATATATATTAAAAATAATAAGGGTCCCAGGACACTTCCCTGTGGTACACCATAGACTGTGCTTTTATAATCAGACCTAAACTTTACTTCACGTTTACTTTTTTCGTTTATACGAATTATCTCTGTATACTGTCTACGATGACTTAAATATGATTTTATTAAATCTAAAACATTTCCTCTAATTCCATAAGCATTAAGTTTATCAATGAGAGTCTCATGTTTCACATAGTCAAATGCTTTAGACATATCAGTAAATATTGCACATACTGACGTCTTATTATCAACCTTAACCATTATTTTACTTAAAAGGTCATATATTGCCATGTTAACATTTCTATTTTTTCTAAATCCCATTTGTTCGTCACATAGAATGTCAAATTTTATTAAAAAATTGTCAATAGCTTCGTAAATTACTTTTTCTATAACTTTAGAGAAAACTGGGGTTAGAGCTATAGGTCTGTAATTGGTTAGTTTATCCTTACAGTCTTTTTTATGTAGTGGTTTAATTATAGCTATTTTTAATTTATCTGGATATACACCAGATGTTATACTACAATTAGTTATGTGACAAAGGGGAGCAGCTATTACCTCAGAAACATATTTAACAACTCTTGTTGATATCCCATCGTAGCCAGTGCTGTTTTTGTTTTTTAAAGATTTTATTAATCGTATTATATCTTGCTGTACCACTGGAGCCATGAATAGAGAATAATGATTGGTTTTCGGACCCAAAACTGTATTTTTTGATGTAATAGTCCTTGAACCAGATGTGATATGGTCAATGAAGTAGTTGTTGAATGTATTAGCAATTTCTGTCGGGTCTTTTATTATTTTATCTGATAGCTGTATCTGTAAGATGGGTTCTGGTGTATTTTTATGCTGATTAATAACGTGCCACGAAGCTTTTGATTTACTTTTCGAGTTTGATATGTAGTAATTACTTTGGGCCTTTTGTGTTAATTTAACTACTTTTTTAAAAATTGTTGTATATGTTCTGAATTTTTTTATATTCTCAGTTGATGGTGATAGGCGATATTTCCATAGCAAATTTCGTTGTTTTTTACTACATAATCGTATACCTTTTGATATCCATTTAACATTTTTTTTACCTTTTACTGTAACGAACTTGAAAGGAAAACACAAATCATACAGCAGTAAAAACAATTCTAAGAAATTATCGTAAGCGTCATCTGGATTATCGGTTTCGTATACTTGTGAGAAAGATAAGCTTTGCAAGTAATTTTTAAATTTAATGAGATTTTCTTCCGATATATCGCGTTTTTCAGTACGCCACTGGCTTAATAGATACGTCTTTTTAACCTCAAACTTAAACAACTGAGCTGTATGGTCCGATAAACCCAAGTCTATATTTTGACTCAGGCATTTTTGTTTTAAATTATGTGCAAAATTGTCTAAACAACTGTTGCTGATTGGGCGTGTAGGGGCTTTTATTATTAATTGTAAATTATAGTTCAAAAGAAATAGTTCAAAATTAAGGGTTGTTCTATTTCTTTTCAGGATATCTATGTTAAAATCTCCGCATAACACTACTTTAGTTTTGGGTTTAGTTATCTTTTTTAAAATTAAGTCGAGCTTTTCATAAAATGTATTTAAGTTGCACATAGGGGGTGGTCGATAAATGCAAATAATGCTCAAGTCTAGCTTACGTAGTTCTATAGCACAACACTCTATGACGCCTGGCAAAGACTGATTTGCAATATGTTTCAGTTCCTTGTATTCATGGCCATTCCTAACCAGTATGCAAGCGCCCCCACGCTTTTTAGAATCCCTCGCGTAACATGCCGCTAGCTTGAAATTTGGTATATTTAATAACGGTTCATGTCCCGACATTATAAAATGTTCCGTAATACATAATACGTCCAATTTTATATGTTTCCCCCAGAAATTTTCAATATGAACTGTTAAAATGTCAGATTTATTTAAAAGTCCAGCAATATTTTGGTGCAATATATATACGCAATTATCATACACGAAAAAAGTTAATGTCAGTTATTGTGTCTACATGATCATTGAAAATGGTTTGCTCGATGTTACTATTGACAGCATATAGTTGAATTTCTTTTATACGAATGAGTATGTCATTGAAAATAGTTGCCATTCCACAATTATTTAGGCTGCCTGTACGTCTATTAAACATTTTGTAATCACAAGTTAAGTTTCTGTTACTGTCTAAAAAATAAGCATGTTCATTTGCTAGTATATCTAAATACAAAAGGTTATTGAAATTTTCAACTCGCCAATTGAACATTGTTGAGTAGTAACTGTATTTGTATGTCGGTGTACATATGACAATGTGAGTATGCTGTACTTTCTTAAGAGCCTCCCTTATATCAATCAGAACAATGTGAGTGTGTGAGTGTGTGTGTGTGCGCGTGCGCGTGTGTGTGTATGTGTCTGTGTGTGTGTGTGTGTGTGTGTGTGTGTGTGTGTGTCGAAAACACTAGATTTTAACCTGCAGACTCATATCAATATTATATGTTACAGAACAACACTAGCTGACGTACCAATAACATGGCGTTTTGGCACTAAGGCGGTGGTGCCGAGAGACATAGACAAAGCTAGTGGTGGCAGAATGTACATCAATTCTAGAGACCAATTGGTGATCACCAAAGTGTTGTATAGAGATGCAAATGTATATAGGTAATGATGTTAAACTTTGTAATATGCAGGTTTTTTTATGCTGGCAAGTATGGATAATAATTTTGTTGCTATATTTGGGCTTGTGATCCCCTACTTATGACAGAAGAATGGTAGCAACCTAAATAAATTTTAACCTAACGTTTTGCCACAAGAGGGGTGTGGATGTCTTAATATACATATTAGGAAGGTTGTGAATGTCTTAATAAACGCTGTTCCTGAATTAATCATATTTAAGATGGCCATTAGCACATCATGTGGTTTTAGGTGGTGCAATTCTGACATATCGCCCTACTGGAAAATCCCGGTAGGGTGACAGCTTGAGTGGATTTCCACGAGTTCAAAAAAAGAAGAATTTTGTGGAACAGAGTAGAACGGTATCCTAACATTTGTCAAATTATTCTTATGCTATCAGAGCGATCGGTGATCATTCGTTCGGTCATGTTACATACCACGATAAATACAGGCCAGGCAATATATATTTAGATATTAAATAGTACGTTTATAATGTAACGTAGTATCACATCACATCAACAGCCTTTAATAGTCCACTGCTGGACATAGGCCTCTCTTCAGAAAGGACGTGTCGGATCGGTTTAGGTAATGTAGGATGAGCTTTATAGATCGGTGACGTTAGAGCTGTAATGTTCCAGCTGCTGGCAGCGCGCGGCGCAGTCGGGCGCGGTGGCGCTGCACGTGCGGCGCGGGGCGGCGCGCGTCTCGTCCCGCGCCCGCGCCCTGCTGCTGGCGCTCGTCGCGCTCGCCGCCGCGCTACTGGCGCTCGCGCACCACCTCGGGCACCGACCGCCCCCTACCGCCTACGCGGTGGCCTAAGCGGGGGACGCACTAGCTACCCCAAACACCGATTCGTGTTTGTGAAAATTACGACTTTTTTAAACAATTAGTTTAATTTTAATAGGGCACTGTCAGAATTTTAATAAATTTGTCTTAGTAACGGTATAAACGCTTTCCACTTATCCCATTATTTCGGTTTTTTTTCTTTCCCTACAACATTATTTAGACTAATATTAATGTCTCAAAGAAAAATCTGTCAAACCTGTACGACATGATTATTAATATTAAAGCACTAGATCCACGTTAGTTACTCTTCCATAAAAAAACTGATAAACAGAGTTGGATGAAATCTAACACACATTTAATGACCTGAATGACTAATAAGAAATTGTAAAGTACCTGCGCGAGCAGCTGCAGCGCGTCCTGTGGGGGGGGCAGCATGTCGGGGGTGAGCGCGGGGGGCGGCGCCACGCCACGCAGCGCGCGCCGCACGAGCCACATGGCCAGCGCGAACTGGTTGCACGACAGCTTGCCCAAGCCTTCCATGTCGCACAGCGCCCTAACACACCGCACCATATTTATTCAAGAAATTGAGGGTAACATAAAAATTCAATAAGTTTAAATATGTAAAACACATCTTGCAGAAAAGAAAAAGTTTCCAAATAATAATAATGTATCACACATCTCACACACGGCTGTCTGATCCCAAACTAATCAGAGCCTGTACTATGGTAACCAGACTGCTAATAAACATACTTATATATTTCTAAATACATACATATTATAGATAAATTACACCCAGACACAGAACACACGCTCGTGCTCATCACACAAATACTTGTCTTGTGTGGAAATCGAACCCACGACCTCCGGTTTAGCAGTCAGGGTCACTAACCACTAGACCAACACGACCGAGCACAAAATGTACAAAGCTTCCATCTCAGAACTTTCTGTGAAATAAGATCGACCTGTTAAACCTGGCAATCGAGTTTTGCAATACAACATAAAAAATACGAATATTGGTACAAATATTGTGTTTACTGTAATTAATTTGAATAAAATGTATGTGGTATATAAATCAACGTGTCTATGTAATTACGATGCCCAGCTCCCAGATATTTTGTAATAAAACCAGCGATCCGCCCCGACTTCGCACGGGTGCAATGTAGATACTACTACTACTAATGTGGTGTCAGTGTGGAGTAATTAATTATACTATTATTATGATAGGACTATACTACAGGATATCTTTATTTTATTATGCAATATTTATAAGCCCGCTCCGATACTGCCAGCCGCTGCCACAAAAGACAGACATACGGCTGGACCGTCGTTGGGCCCCCGCATTTTAAACCTCTAATATCTTTTAAAGTATTCATTTTAATGATATGCTGTTACGAGCTATTTTAATCTACACTAGCTGACCCGCGCAACTTCGTCTGCGTCTCTCAATAGTAATAAATTTTCTCCGTTTTTGAAACATTATTCATTGGTGCTCCGCTCCTATTGCCCTTAGCGTGATGATATATAGCCTATAGCCTTCCTCGATAAATGGGCTCTCTAACACTGAAAGAATTTTTCAAATCGGACCAGTAGTTCCTGAGATTAGCGCGTTCAAACAAACAAACAAACAAACAAACAAACAAACTCTTCAGCTTTATAATATTAGTATAGATTAAATGCACAACGTATCTAAGGTATTTAATTGGATAAGGAATAATAATATTTTGTTTAAAATAGCTTCATAAATAACCCATAATTTTTGTAATATTTAAAAGATAAAAATATTTACTGTGGGTTATCTTAGGAGATAGACATTTATTTATTTATTTCCTTTAAAAACAACTATTATTACAGGTTACAGGTGTCCGTGTAGTGACGGATTAAGAATACGGAATGTCACTACCCCAATTCATCCCGTGGGTGTCGTAAGAGCCGACTAAGGGCGCAAAACAACGCAGGACACCAGCACTGCAAAAAGAAGGAAAACTTGACACAAACCCTATACCGACCCGTCTGGCCAGCGTGGTATAGTAGGCCAAAACCTTCTTTCTAAGGAGATGCCTATGTCCAGCAGTGGACTATTAAAGGCTGTTGATGATGTTGATTATTACAGACTAGCTGACCCGCGCAACTTCGTCTGCGTCTCTCAATAGTAATAAATTTTCTCCGTTTTTTAAACGTTCTTCATTGGTGCTCCGCTCCTATTGGTCTTAGCGTGATGATATATAGCCTATAGCCTTCCTCGATAAATGGGCTATCTAACACTTAAAGAATTTTTCAAATTGGACTAGTAGTTCCTGAGATTAGCGCGTTCAAACAAACAAACAAACAAACAAACTCTTCAGCTTTATAATATTAGTATAGATTTAGCCCAATGCAATAGTGTTATACCATCTACTTATTTATTATAAGAAATAATTCTTAATGTTGTTATTGTGAATCCACTCAGTGAGCAATAAAATAAACATACACCATCACGGATTTTTTTGTAGATCTTTTTAAGATATACAATGCCGTAGTACATTATTTTGGTCAATCTCGTGAGGTTAACTCAGCGTTCGCAATGTAAGCGCACAAAAACATTCGTTTTGCGACAAATCTTTGAAATTCTCAGATTTCCTCTACTATAATATGCATGTATTATACATATAAACCCTTCTCTTGAATCACTCTCTCTGAAAATTCTCATTAAAACCCGTTTCTTAGTTTAAAAGACCTAACTTTTAAACTAAAGATATAACTAGATATAACAGGTCTTTTAAAATGAAGTCGCTTTTTTGTGTGGTACGCTTAGAAGCGTTTTTATTTAAGCGAAAAAAGCGATTTTATTTTATACTATTTAATGATGAGCGAGCCTTACAGTAGTCGCAAATGATTTATAACATCCTTTATTGGTCAAATCCACTAGCGTACGCTTCCCCGACTTCCTGTTACACATTTCCGTCCCTTTCCACGAAATCACTTTCACAGATCGCAGGGTCCGAAATATGTAACATATTGAATTTTTAAATGCACAGTAACTCTTACCATATATGTGCCAAAGTCTGTTGAGGTAGTCCAGAATCGAGGAACACGTGTTTGATCTCGAGGCCGGAAACGAACCCGTCTCTGTCGGTGTCGGCTGCCGCGAATTGTGCGTCGAAGGTCGCCTTCTCCACCGGCGTCACCACCCAGTTGGACCCCGCGCCTTGAGAGGGCATGTGGGGGGTCATCGTGGGCACGGGCGGTATGGGCGGCGCGGTTTGTGAGGGTGGCTGAGAACAAATATAAACATGATGTTTAAATTACTAAGGTTAGGAAAATCGACGAATCTATCGACTGTTAATCGAATCAAAGACTTCATGACGGCATGCAATAAAAACGTACTTATGGGACATAATGTTTTTGTAGGAATACATACGTAAACTAAAAAAAAATAGGTTTCGAATGGGACCCTAATAATAAATAAATAAACTCACAGTTGATAGATCCAAGAGTCCCTCTAATAACGCAGTGTTTCCTTGCGACTGCTGGGGCGGGGGCTGCGGCCGGGGTGGGCGCGAACCTGGGGATGGGGGTCGTGACGGTGGTCTAGACGGGGGACGAGATGGAGGGCGAGATGGGGGCCGCGCTGGCCGAGCTCGCAACTCTGGGGGGAGCGTTGTGGGCACCGCGTGCTTCTCCAGCGCTTTGTACACCAAGTGCATGGCCTATAATGAAAAGTAATAAAAGTAATTAATATAATAACCACAAGATTAATTGTCTTCACCTTTTAGTCCTTAATAACGGACATACTAGCACACATCAAAACAATGTTGTGGTATATTTAATAGTGCCATTGTATCTACCTGTGAATTGCAAAAGAGTGGCCATGAGTTTGTTTGCCCTTTCTTCTCATAAGGCTCAACCCCTTGGAAACGGGCGGTTGTAGATCGGCACAGGCATATCATAGATTTTGTATGGGTTTGATTTTTGTTAAATTTATTTGGTTACTATTTGACAAAACAGAGATTGTTGCTCTTGTGTGTGTTGATCTATGACTTTAGAGTCTACATGGAAGACGATTTCAAACAATTTTGGAAATTTTATTTTATTTTAAGAGTTTGAGTTTGAAGATTGCATAGAAACAACAATTAGGAACAACGAGTCCTACATGTATGATATTGCAGGATATGATAGACAGTTAGGCTAGAAACTATGCAAATCTTATACCATGATTAAATACTTTGCAACACACAGTGCAACAGAAACTGTGTATTTGCACATTCCCAAGTTTTCAACCATTAAAAATCGCTTCTCTTCTTGATAATTGCATTTGTTAGGCGCGTAAATAAATCAGACTACCCCAAAAGACAAATATTTATAGCCTTTTTATATCTTTAATAATTATTATACCTATGGTATGGTATATAATACTAACTTTTAAACTTTCGCGTTCCATGATAATTAATATTATTTAACGGGAATTAACGCGATCTCTTATTTAGGGTATTATATAGGGTATTATTATTAGGGTAGGGTAGTCAGCCTGTGACCACGGCCGGTGCAACCTGGTCGAAACGTCAGGCAAACCAGAGGTATGTAATACCCTAAATAAGAGATCGCGTTAATTCCCGTTAAATAATATTAATGGTATATAATGTCCGTTCGGTAACTAAATTAAACTAATAATGTCCTTTAATGGTCCGTGTGGAATAAGAATACAGAGTGTCAGCACCTATTCATCCCGTGGGTGTCGTAAGAGCCGACTAAGAGAGCAAACTACGCAGAACAACGGCACTGCAGAGAGAAGGAAAACTTGACACAAACCCTATACCAACCCGTCTGGCCAGCGTGGTATAGTAGGCCAAAACCTGTTTTCTAAGGAGAGGCTTATGTCCAGCAGTGGACTCTTAAAGGCTGTTGATGTGATGATGATGTGATGAGAAATTTGGTTGTCACGATGCGGTTAAAAAAAGTTAACTTACCACCATGAACTCGTGTCTGTCAAGCATCCCATCTTTGTCCTGGTCGGCGAGGTCCCAAATCTTGCCAAGAGTATCTATAGGTAGCTTTGATTCCATCAGCACTCCTTTCACCTACAACGCAAGAAAGACAATCCTTATCAGTTTAATTAGATAGAAATTAAATTAAGTATAGGATTAGGTATAGGACAAAACCATAACATAAATTATATCCATACCTTATAGGTTTTGAATTAGGTGTGAATTTACATGTACTCAAATACTTTAATTTTTTAATTTATACTCTGCGTAGTCATTATTAATTCGGATTTATTATGAGCATTTAAGCGTCAAAAGGTGTACAGTACGTCCTCTGACATTTCCTGGTAGTCTAGTGAAATGAAACTAGGTCCCCGTAGGGTGACCCGTGTATTGTATTATGTATTCTAAGGAGATGTCTATGCCCAGCAGTGGACTGTTAAATGCTGTTGAGTTTTATGATTAATATTATTCTGTAACTGTGTAAAAATAGTTATCCTGTTTGTTGTTATCATTGGGAGAGTGTTTCGATAAAAAGTGTTATAAATATGTTCGAAATTGGCTTTTTATGTAGATTATCACAATAGCAACAATCTCTGTTTTATTCTAAAATAAATGATTTATTATTATTTATTAATTTAGTTTTTTATGATCAGGTTTTCTTCATATAGGAGACTTGTATTTTTTTTTTTTTTTTCATAAAAGACAACGCCCGCATTAGGAATATATTCCTGTGTCGCGGGGGACTTTACAAACATACATGACACGGACACAAAGAACACCCAGACTCAGAACAACAATTTGTGGATCACACAAAGTGTCGTCCCATGTGGGGTTTGAACCCACAACACTCGGTGTAGTAGGAAGTGGCGTGGCGACCGCTTAAACCACTACGCCATCCGTGCAGTCGTATGAACATATCTATACTAATATTATAAAGCTGAAGAGTTTGTTTGTTTGTTTGAACGCGCTAATCTCAGAAACGAAAAAAAAAAGGTCCGATGTGAAAAATTCTTTCAGTGTTAGATAGCCCATTTATCGAGGAAGGCTATAGGCTATATGTCATCACACTAAGACCAATAGGAGCGGAGCACCAATGAAGAATGTTTCAAAAACGGAGAAAAATTATTACTATTGAGAGACGCAAACGAAGTTGCGCGGGTCAGCTAGTAGGTTATAAATTCATAAGAACAACTATCTCACCTTATTCCCAGCGATAAGTCCATTGTTGGGCTGCAATGACTCAAACAGCTGGTTGTACTTATCCCTCTCGGCTGGCTTCATGCTCCAGTCGCTGAGCGGCATGGAGGGCGCGGGAGAGGGCGCCGCCGGCCGGGCCGGAGGCGTCGCACTCACCGGAGGTACTTTGGGAAGCTCGCCCTGTGAATAACAATAGATATTTTTACATTCTAATTATTTTCTAAACAAACTCTTTTTTTTCGTGTAATTGACCATATATTAAAAAAAAAATGAAATTTGAAACTGATCGAATAAACGCAATTACGCGCAATACAAATTTAATAATACGAAATTCCTACTCCGGTAGCATCCAGCTACTCTCGGAGTTTATTAGCCAGTGTGTCTGGTTTAGGGCCACTTGTGACATTAAAGCCTACACTTAACCTGGTACCACATGTTTCAATGTTTCATGATCAAATCATTAAAAAGCTTCGTACACACCTGAATCAACGAGGTGGTTGTGGTGGTAATGTCAAAAAAACGTATACTTACCACTTTAGGTGGCGGCGCCTCTGAGTGTATGTTGCTCATGTTGATGTCCTTGCCGGCCTGCGCCAGCGCAACCAACTTTAGTGCCACGAACAAACCAGCCTGTAGACAAACAACAAAGCAATTAAGTAAAAATACTGGTAACGCGAATGTCAACATCGTGGAGGTCAGATACAAAAGGTTTCGCCTAAATTGGGGCCACTCGAAGGATGAAACACTACTGAAGGGTTTTGTTTAATGGGCTATGGTGACTACCTCGGCCCATAGACACTGCAACTTGAGGATCACAATTGCGTTGCCGCTAAAGAGCTGCTTAAAGGAGTCCCCCCAGAATTAAGGCAGGGAGGGTTTGCGCTCTGGTAACATCACTCACTTCTGTGAGGCCCTGGTCGATTCTCAGGTCGACCATGGCCCATTTGTGCCGAAGTATGGCTCTCCCACGGCAACATAATAAACGCCGGAAATGCAGTGTGGATTTTCAAAAGAATTTTACCAAAATTAGAGAGAGATTAATGAGAAGGAATTGGGTGTATGTTTCATTGTATCATGTATAAATTCGTTAAAATATGACAGCAATTGTTGAAGATGTCGGAATAATCGTGTTGTATATATTACGGAATTATTCCTTCTAATAATATTATATGGCAGGAAATAAACAAATATATGCATTGCTACCTGCAAAAAGGCAATAGCAGTTACTATTAAAAAACTATTAAACAATTATTATTTTTTAAATGTTTTTGTGGTATATCTGGGTGTATGTCGTTTTCTTGTTGTGCCTACCACGTCACGATTCAAAAACCTAAGCACCTTCCACCATTAACAGGGAAACTCATAATTTAAATTCTTTTTATTACTCACCGTAAGCAATCTGAATCCTTAAATTCAAAGGAGAAATCATTCAGTCACTGTATACTTTACACTAAACACGGCTTCAATTATCAAACTTAACGAACAAATAAGCACTCCAGGACAATAACAGGACACAAAATCATTAAACTATAGGATTATTCATGTAAAACATTCCTTTTACAAAATATTTTATACGCCCTAACGCTATAGTCGAACGTCGTAACGTTCGTCAGAGTAGTGTCTCTCATTATCCGGTGCTGTGCTACAGATAACGCACTATCATTTGTAATTAAATACTTCCAATGTTTGACGTTTCGTTCGGCTTTACTTTTTAAGATAAACCAAAAAACGTCCAAATATCTTTGGAGAATCCACGACAAGAAATTTAAAGAGTCTTTTCTTTATACACTTCAAACTACATCCAAAAAACGGACCGAAAAATCATAAGTTACCTCTTGGTGTATAGTACTGTCCGTGTGATGACGGATTAACAATACGGAATGTCACCGATAGCCTACTAAGAGAGCAAAACTACGCAAGACAACAGCACTGCAAAGAGAAGGAAACCTTGACACAAAACCCTATACCAACCCGTCTGGCCAGCGTGGTATAGTAGGCCAAAACCTCCTTTCTAAGGAGAGGCCTACGTCCAGCAGCGGACTATTAGAGGCTGTTGATGATTATGATGTACAGTAATTACAAACTCTGGCGTTGACAGTTACATAGTTATTTTATGGTTTCGCGTGACAGTAAGTAACTGACTCCGCCCTTGATCACAACTGCGTTTTCGGCCTGTGACTGCCTCCGTCTAAATAAAGGGGAAAGCGGGAGGATTGTTTTCCGTAACCTCATTTAAATATAACCGTATGAAAAATTTGTTGTAAGACGGTTTTCTGTGTCGAAGTACGACTCTGTCACGATTGAATAAAAGTAACCGTACTGCAATCAATTACACATTATTATTAGTATTACTAGCTGTACGCTTTTTTTTCCGTGCGGAAATCCCCTCGGATACCACCTATCGGTGGCATGTCGGACTTACCGTTACGTACGTTACCGACTAAAACCGCACGCCGTCTCGGGTACTAATAGCCGGGGAAACAGGTATACCCTAGAAAGGAAGTCCCTGGTGCCACTAGCTGTACCCTGCCACGCACCGCTGTGGCGCATCGTGGTTTCATTGATGTGAAATGAGGAACAAAACCAACGCGAAGTATAGATAAAACAATCATGTCCAAATTACAGCTCAATCGGTGCAGAACTTTTTAAGTTTTTGAAGCGTACACAAACCAACTTAACCTTTTTATATTTACAGATGTAATACTTCACACGTTTGATCAAAAAGTTCAATACTGACGAATTAGCTATTTTTTTTTATGTTAGAGGGGGCAGACGAGCAGAGTGGTCACCTGATGGAAAGTGACTATCGCCGCCCATGAACGTCTGCAACTCAGGAGTCACAAACGCGTTGCCGGCCTTTTAGGAAGGAATACGCTCTTTTCTTGAAAACGTTTTTTTTATCAATTCTCAATTATCGATCATTTTTAACTCTGCTTGACATAATTATTTTATTTTATTTAATGTTTTTGCATGCCACTATTCTGGTCAAAAAATTTGTATCTACTTCTACCCATTGGAACACCATTTGTCACAATATTTTTGCAAATAAATATGATTCCGATTCAAGCTTAAAGAAAACGAACTTCCGGTATTATCGCTAATCTATGTAATATAAAATACGTGAAATCAGAATCATATGGATAAACATTCATTGACGGGCCTGTTGGTCTAGTGGTTAGTGACCCTGACTGCTAAGCCGGAGGTCGTGGGTTCGATTCCCACCCAGGACAAATATTGTGTGATGAGCACGATCATTTGTTCTGTGTCTGGATGTTATTTATCTATAATATGTGTGTATTTAAAAATATATAAGTATGTTTATCAGCAGTCTGGTTACCATAGTACAGGCTCTGCCTAGTTTGGGATCAGACTGCCGGGTGTGAGATGTGTGAAGTTATTATTATTATTATTATATATATAATCGAACGCATCGTAATTCGGTTATATCATTTTACAATAACTCGATGATAAAGATGATAACGAAACGTCTGTACAGAAGGCGATTCTCTTTAATAAAAATTCGTTCAAAATTCAGTGCCTAGTTATAACTCGATCGCACAAATGTCATCTATACTAATATTATAAAGCTCAAGAGTTTGTTTGTTTGTTTGTTTGAACGCGCTAATCTCAAGAACTACTGGTCCGATTTGAAAAATTCTTTCAGTGTTAGATAGCCCATTTCTCGAGGAAGGCTATAGGCTATATATCATCACGCTAAGACCAATAGGAGCGGAGCACCAATGAAGAATGTTTGAGAAACGGAGAAAATTTATTACTATTGAGAGACGCAGACGAAGTTGCGCGGGTCACCTAGTTTATGTCATAAAAGATAATCTCGTGATTAAGTAGTTAAGTATTACTAAGATCAACAGGATACCAATTCAACTTTCGTTCACAATACGATATAATCACATTACAGTCAGCGTTGGATGTTTAATATTTTACTACGAGAATACCTTATGTTATCGAGAATAGATCGGAACTGAATTCGGAACGAATTTTTATGACGAGAATTGACCTTCTGGTAACGCAATGGGTTTGCACCTAGGGCATTCCCAGAACCGGTTCTGTTTTAAAGAACCGAGGTTTTTGGGACCTTTTGGCTCAAGGATTCGCGTAACTTTCGATAGTTTAACTAAGTCTTTTTGAAATAGTAAAGTTGATAGTGTTAAAACGGAGAAAGTAAGGGAAAGACGAAATGACAGGGCAAAATAAAAATATTTAAATCTAATAGAACGTTTTATTTATTGTCTATTAAAGTCACTGAATCAGTTTTATTTAGTATAATGCGCCGGTTCTAACTTGGAAATGGTTTTAAAAAAAACTCATTATTACATCCAGTCTTAGATCATTTGTCTAGATGAAGTGTGTGTGCACTAAAAACAACTACAGGTAAATTAGCTTGGAGAATTTTTTGCGTTTGTAGTAGTGTATGGTAGCGGACAGCGTAAACTGGTTTATTCTGGTTTTGTGCGTGTTTAAACTTTCCACTATCAAGTGACGATTTTTTGCTTTAGATTGAAATATCTCGGAAACGGTGCGTCCTAGGCCAAAAATTTCAAAAATTTTGACCCCCCCCCCGTAAACCCCCTGGAGTTTTAAAAACCTAGATGAAAGGAAAAAAAAATATTTAAATATCGATCTCTCCTCTTTGAAGTTTCACTTCTATCGTGTGTGAATCGCACACACACCTTTTTTTTATAAAGTCAAAACCTTTTTCTTTAAAATAAAAACTTGTTTTTATTGAAAACAAAAATCAGAGTGTTGCTAGGGATAAGTATAAAATTAAATAGTAATGTTAGGATATCGAAACATTTTTGTGTAGGCCAGAACGATATAGTGGAAACGCGCTCTAAGATCTGAGTAATATACACACCACTACATATGCAAAAATTTCTCGAGACTAATTTCACTGTACAACAAACGGACTAATAATATTATTCTGGTGTGTGCATATCTAAGCTTGTGTGCGCACAAATCCAGCATTTATAGATTTTAAAGTGACAGCGACTTCGGTAACCTCACACATTCGGTGAGAGCAAGGAAAGATAACGCCGGTTTTCTGTGAGGCGATGGTACCACATCAGTCCAGCCGGATTATTTGTGCCATAGCTAAGACACGGTAAATCATGGAACGCGAAAAAAAAACGGATTAAAGGACTTCAAAAGAGGATGAGATTGCCAATTTGGCTTGTTTATGTTCGTTAAATTAGAACTTATTTATTACTCGTTTTTTTTTATTGAAAACATCTTTAGGTGCGTTGGGCATTTTTGAACAATAAACAAAAGAATGAACAAAACATTTTTTGAGATGGGAAAAAACCATTGAACCCGAGACACTGTTACCGTTACCGACACCTCTGTATTTAAGTATCTATATATAATGGCCCCGTTTACAACGAGAGTTGAGTCTGGGTTTAAAAAACATTGATTACATAACTGTATAATAATATAATATAAACATATATTGTATACATACTTACAACTTTTCGAATCGTAAAAAAAAACAAAAAAAATCTGTTATTATAAAAAAAAAGTTTTCTCATCTTTCTAAACTAGCACTCTGGTGCCACTTTTTTTTAATTTGAAAGCCTTCCAGTTTTCCTCTTTCGAATTCCAATCGTAAGGGT